TGTCATTCTGGAAAACAATCAGGACACATTTTCAGTTCTTTTCCTTATTCATACAACCATGCTGTCTCTGTGCTTCAGTTCCCTCAATTACACAACTTGATATACAATCCAAAAACAAGCAAACCCTGCTCAAGTGAGCTCTTGATTGGTATATGCAGAGGATCAAGTTTGAAAAATGTCCAAAGTGGCAGATGTACAAAATTCTCATTCAAAAGACAGAAATTGCCTTGACAATAATTCTTCAACTCCCATTAATCTCATTGCTCCCACTCTTGCTAACCGCTAGTACTACTTATTTTTCATCTTTAGAGGCCTAAGAGTATGTTATGCAGACGTATTAGTAGAAAGAAATAGTGAGAAGAGAAGAAAGAAATCAGAATTTAGAAAGGCACTCTAGAATAAAAGTATTTTCTGTGATTGAACACTAGATTTTTTTACAGGCTTAACAAAGATGCTCAGCAATGAAGAAACTGGATACTTGAATGAATGCTGAAAAGATGCAGTAGAGAAGATTCTGTCCATTTTTGAAGATGGAAAGATGAAACAGCGATGATTTACCTCTGGTTAATAGGAAGCCTGTGGCATAGCCAGGAATGGAGCTCAGATGCTCCAAGTCCCACTTGCCAGCCTTGTTTGCAAGACGTTCTGGGGCTCTTTGAGCTTATGTCAGTTGCAGAAAACTGTGACATGGCAGCTTTCCATTTTGTCATAAGTGATTTATTTGATGTACAAATACTATCTGAAAGGTCAGGCTTGGTTGAGATACAGCATACCATCATTCTTGCGTGGTGTTGTTGCAGCAGTTTTATTTGTGAAAAACTAGTAAAAAGAATGACAGGTTGGCAAATGAGAAGGGAAGATAAATTCATATTTTTTAATGCTTGCAGCATTACAGCATTCTTGCTAAGCTATAACAGCTTTAAAGTTTAGACATCTAGTAAGCATGCAGCAGCACTATGGCTCAGTCTCAGTTCTGGTTTGCCATTTTTAAATGCAGATATCAGAGGAAAAATCCTGCCATTAGCTTTAGAAATCATAGCTGAGTGAGCATCACAGACAAAACATCATGTCTATATCTATCGCATTTTTCAGTGTAAATATAAAGTGACAAATCACTTCCAAAATAAAATGAATAGAAAAAAAATACGACTTTTTGTCCTTTCCCATGTTGGAGAACAGAGAGAGTATGAAGCAGCTCTAATATTTCRTGTGGTTTACACTATTATTAGCAGGAAGAGGCAAATTCCTCTTACAGCTCTGGAGCAGGGCSCTCGGTTTTGAAGCAATTCTCTTTCACCTTGCCTTGGTGTTTTTGAGGCCAAAACACATACTCTTTTTTGTACTTAGAATAAAAAGATTCATGTTGTCAGTCCCTGCCATGTACTTAGGCCTATATAAAGTTAGTGGCAGGCTTCTCTTCTCCTGACTCCCAAATGTTCAGGCCTCTCCTGTTGAAGTACCACAGTCTGTCTTTCACCAGCATATTCACAGTAAAATGCAAGGGGTTAGTATTTAATAATTCTGCAAAGCTACTTACTGAGATGGTTGGGATATCTCCCAACACACCTGCCTTGTTCTGTTATGATGCAGAAATGTTCTGCCCGATCTTACAGTCTTATCCATCACTTTTAATAACTTCTTGTTTCCTTTTGTTTGACTTTACCAGATTTCTAGGTTTACATACCTTCAAACTCCATGGGGAGTTGAGGATTGCCTTCCTTTCACTAGTTAGTTTACTCAGAGTGGAAAGTATTTCCTTTAGGAAGCAACATTCTCTTTGATGAATCAAAACCATGGTCCTGTTCSCCATCTTTTTAAGGTATTGTATTGTATTAAGGTATTGTAAGGTATTAAGGCTTTGCTGATAAGGAACAGCGTCAGGATTTTGAGGAATGATGTTCTGCATATGTGGGAAAATTGTGTTCTTGCCGTTCCGTGTCCTCTTACAGAATAGGTGGATCTTGCAGGAGAAGGCTGTGGTGTCAGCATGCAAAGCATGCCCTTTTGCCATTTTAGATTTACCACATTTAAGTGCTTTTTCAGAGGGCCTGATTGTCAAATAATACTACCCTCAGAATGTACATCCTTATGGTAGCTATCTCATCCCATCATGCAGACAAAATCACCAAATTAGCAGCATCCTCTTTGTACAGTTGCTTAATATTGAGGCAATTCTGAAGCTTTTAATAGCAGTTTTTCATAGTAGTATGCTGGCTCTGCTGCTACTGGGATTTAGCAAGCAGAACTTGTGACTCCTGGTCAGATATGTAGGAATTCTACATGTTGAAAAACTGAGATTTTTTTTCCCCAAAGAGGGAGCTAGAGAAGAGCAAACTACAAGTCCCCTGTTTGGAAACTGCCGATGGTCTCTCCTAACCTCTCCTCTCAATGAACAAGGTTAGGCAATGTAGTCCTACATTGTCTTGTAGTCCTTTCCTAGAAGAGAAATTCTGCAGAATAGTTGCACGAATGAAAAGCCTTCAGTCTTCATGAGCTATTGCTGTTTACTCTCAGTCCTACTCCCCCTCTTTACCCTCATTGGTATTTGCCCTGGTTGCTGTCAGTGTAGTCCCCCTGTTTACCCCTCATTCCTATTTTCCCTGTTTACCTTCAGTGGTAATACCACTGTTTAACCTCAGTCTTACCCTGTATACCCTCAGTAGTACTCCACCTGCTTACTCTCAGTCCTCCTCTCCCTCTTTACCCTCAATGGTACTCCCCCTGTTTACCTTCATTCCTACTTTCCTTGTTTATCCTTGGTGGTACTACCACTGTTTATCCTCACTCTTACCCACCCTGTCTACCCTCAGTCCTACTCCAGCTGAGTCCTACCCTGAGTCCTACTCTCAGTGGTACACCACTTTTTTAACCTCAGTCTTACTTCTGCTGTTCACCCTCAGTGGTACTCACCCTCTTTACCCTCAGTTCCACTCCTGCTGTTTACCCTCACTTACTCCACTTTTTTAACCTCAGTTCGACTCCTCTGTGCTATTCTGCATGTTTACTYTCAGTCCTACTCCCCTTCTTTACCCCTTGTAGTACTCAGCCAGTTCACCCACATTCCTGCTTTCCCTTTTTACCCTTGGTGGTACTACCACTGTTTACCCTCAGTCTTACTCGCCTTGTTTACCCTCAGTGGTATTCCCTCTGTTTACCATCAGTCCTGCTCCCATTGTTTAACCTCACTCCTACTTTCCCTTTTTACACTCAGTGGTACTACCACTGTTTACTCTCAGAAATACTTCGCTTTTCAAAACTCAGTCCTACTCCTGCTCTTTATCCTCAGTGGTACTACCACTGTCTACTCTCAGTTCTACTGCCTGTCTTTACCCAGCATGGTTCTCACCCTGTTTAYCCTCAGTAGTACTCACCTTCTTTACCCTCAGTAGTGTAAAAAGATATTTTCCTGTTGTGATGGATAACGTTGAGATATATCTGTAGTAATTAAGTAATATAGATTGTTAAATCCTTAACAAAGACATGCAAATTGAAAGTGTGTGAAAAATAACAAAGTTTGTTTTACCCATTAATGGCATTTACGTATGCAAAATTTCCCTTTATRGGAGTGACTATTTAAGAGTAATAGTGTTGCTACTTGCATGAAAATATGTGGTTAAAAATACAGAGGAAGTATTTACATAGAGAGAGTATAGTGTTTCTAAGTGAAGTTCAGCCAGATTCTTAAACAGTATTCCTTACATCATAAAGCCTTTTAGTAACCAGAAGTGTTCAGAGCCTCTTCTTGATATTTAATTCCTAAATAACCTCTCAAGAAAGACATTTCCTACTGCACTTAGGTATCTGTTTGGTATTTGTTCAAAAGGAAGAATTCAGTGATCTGAATTACTGCCTGAAAAAAACAGAAGATTCTCATTAGCTTTTCGTGTGGTATAATTGTGCTTTCCCAGTATGACACCTCATAAGTAAGGCATTACCTAGGGTATCTTTGCTTATGGGCTGTTTGAACCAAGGAAGGTCTAGTTAATAAATGAACTTAGTTTGCTTGAGCATCAACTCCTGTTCCAAGCCAAAGAGATTTTAGCTTCACACAGCAATTGGTAGGGACCAGATTTGCTCGCTACACTTTTCCTATTAATATGAACGCCAGRAACTGCAATAAAGAGTCTGTAAGTGTGAAAACCCCTAGAAAAAGAGAAGGGTTGACACTGTGCTCTACGTCTGTTAAATGCAGCTCATTCTGACCAGGTCGTTTAACTCAGCGTATTTTTATCTTATTAATGTAGTTTCTCAGAATGATCAAGAACATTTGTAGTTCCTGTGCAAATTTCCACTTTCAGAGAGATACTATGCTAATTTTTAGATTTATTTAATCAAAATTTCATAATATACTCAACATTTTGTATTCTGTCTTGATTTACAACACTTAGAAAAAACTCATTGAGGGCCTGATTTAGTGTAGAAAAGTCTAAGCATGTTTTATTTTGCCCAAATATATGTATTTTTTAATCTAGGTCTATTCTAAGCCCAGTTTTTGGAGGGAAGTTTATTCTGCTTTACCGAAATTCTTCATAGTATGACAAATAGAAAATGTACATTTAGTCTTTCACAGATTTATGACATTCTTCAGTTTCACTTTCTATAGTTCAAGTTAAAACCTAACTGTTTACTTGCATGAGTAGCTGCTTCTACTTTAAAACTAGCACTTTCAGCCTGGAAAGAAGTTCTAAGATGCTGCAAAACACAGGCTCTGTTCATATCAAAATGCATTCATTCAATATAAAGGTCATCTTTGCTTTCTCTGCCTGACTGACTCACTTTGAAAGAACTTGCTGGTTTTATAAGCTCAGGGATTTCGAAACTGACAGTGCTTCTCTTCTGTGCCTGGAAATACATATATAATGCCCTCACAAAAAATAATTTAGTATATAATCAAATAACAATCTAAACTCTTCTACAGACTAGTGTCTTGGAATACAGGTAAGTAGACATAAGCATTATTTAAAYTAAAATGACTTTTTGTTACATGTTTTTCAATATAGGGTCCTTCTGGGCTGACAGGATTTCTGGAGTCCTTGAGCAATGAGGTATGAGGATTTGATTTGGTGTATGTGTGTCTTTGTTTATGTTTAAGAAGTGTCTAAGTTAGGAACGGCCACAGTTTCAGCCCCTAAAAACTATATAGCAAGTTCTTTATCCATCCAAACGCTAGACCCTTCCCTACCCTCTTCTTGCATCCCAGTTTAGGCCCAGGCCACGACTAGGTCACACACCTACTGCTATTTGTGTTACCTCCCCCGCATATCTGCTCCCATGTTCTTCCCTTCCCAATCTCAAAAACGTTGGACTGCCTCGCTATTAGTGTAAGGTGCTGGCTTGCCTTTGCTAAATTCAATCTCCCTAAAGCACACTTCTTTCTGACCTAACTTGTCATGATCCTGAGAATAGTATAGAAAGATAAGAAGGCAGAAGATAAAAAGATCCACCAGTGTTTATAAGAATTGCCCTTAGATTAGGGGCTAATATGAATACTGTCTTCATTCTGTAAAATCCCGCAGCTAGACACTTCTATGTGACAGCACTGCCATGCTCTCCTTTAAATTCTTACCACTGATTTTGCAAATCGCTTATTCAGATCACTGTAATATCTGCTGTTGTAAGGCACAGTAATTCAGAGACTTCCCTAGTTTTCTTAATTGATGCTAAAGTGCGTTTAAAAAAAAGAAAAAAAGAGATCTGAGTAGAAAATTGTACTTCATTCAAAGACCAATTAAACAGTAATATTTGCTTAATATAAAGATTACTGTGTGTTTCATGCTTTGCATCACACAGGCCAATCCTGGTGGACATCTGGCATCTTTTTTAGTGTTAAAATGCATAACTATAGACAGCAGATAAATTCAGGCCTTTTTTCATATATGACATCCAAATGAGTATTAAAATCTCTTTTTTGAAGGGATTTTGGAGTCCAGGTCCCATCAAACATGTCTTCAAATTGCTTTTATCACTGAAATGATTTCCCTGGTATTTGTGATGCTTAATCCTTTCCAAATCAGTGTTATCACCTTAGGGCATGCATTGCTCGTGCACTAGCTGTGCTAGGAGTTAAGCCTAGATCGGTATCGTGTCCCAGGCAGGGACATTTTCCTATCCAGAGATCCCTGTGTTTGGTATGCCTTTTTACATGTAGATGTTGGAGGTTTTATATGTCATCTATTTGTGCCTTCTGTTTTCYTTTAAGTTTCTTTTTTCTTGCCAAAACCAGCTTTCATTGCTCCCAAATATATCGTAATTATTGTAACTCATTATAGGCATCTGAGCTATTAATCTTTTTCCTTTCTAGTTAAAGGGAGTTGTTAGGCCTTGTAAGGTTAGGTCAGTAACAAGAAAGATAAAACGGGTGATCTTCTGACAAGCATCTGTCTTTAAGAATCACTTTTCTTGTAATTGTAAGGCTCTAAGAAATCCAAAAATGTCTTAAATTTCCTAACTAATAATCTTCTGACAAAATACAGAACAGTTGCTCTGTTTCTGTAAATGAATCATTTTTACATCCTTTGCTGCTTACCAACTTTTTCTTTCCTTCAGCTGCACGTTGAAATTTTTGATGACTTTGTCATTAACAAGTAACTTCAATAGGGAAGTGTAAAAGTTGTATTTCACATAAGAGATGATGGATTACTGATTCAAGTAGCAGATTTTAAGCAGGATTTTCCTAGATTTTCTGGAATGACCTATTTAAATATCATTAAAGTCAACTTAAACTTGCAATTGCTGCAGAATATGAGTTACGTTATGTGCAGCTAATGAGGGGAATGGGAACCTCTCTAGATAAGACAGGCTGTCTGCTTTGCCACAAAACTTTTTTTGTCAAGACAGATGCATGCATTGAATTTCCCTTTTTTCACACTGTTTTRTAATATGAAGAGTGCTTATTTTGTTCACTGCACCCTGGTGGTACCAAAAGTCTTTCATTTTCCAGTATGTAATTTGYAGTGGGTTTCAAGATTAAAAACACTTATAAGATGTGATTTCTGTGATATTTTTGCTTGTTTGTTTATTTGTTTAAGATTCCTTAGAGCACAGGATTTGGTTTTGTAGTTTTCCAACATTTAATGGGCATGTTCAGGTATCTCATAGAGTCATTTTAGGGCTTGTTTTTTTTTTAAGTATTTAAACTGTGACCAGATCTTTTTTGCTGTAGAAATGTTAATATCAGATTTCCCTGAGGATATTTGTGGGGCTTCTTTACAGTGGCATTTCTTGGAATTATGACAAAAACTGCTACCAAGAAAGACACGGGGTCACTAAGAAATGACCTGTAAACACAACATTATTTAGCAACATTTCTTTTCTTTCATGGCATGTAACGGTTTTTGTAATCCTTCTTGTTATTTCTTTTTTTTTTTTTTTATTTTCACCACAAATAAGATGCCTTGCATGTGCTGAATACATTATTTTTGTTCTCTTTGTTTTGCTACAAAGCTGGTCTGTGCTGCGCTCTTGGTTTCATTCTTTTAGGACAACTCCTAATTTGTGTTTATATACGCTGGAGCCCGTGTTGCCACTCTGTGCCTTTGCTTTCAAGGCCTCTCCTGTCATCTTGTGCTTCTGGTCTTGGGCACCCTTACGACAAATCTTTTATTTATCATTTTAACGTACATACATAAACATGCATTAGGCCACTTTAGTCAAATCTAAAATGGTCCCCAAGACATCAAAATATGAATTAAGCCACAAAACAACAGAAATTACATCACAGACTTCTCAGGAAACTTTTCAAAAATATGAGTTGATTCTTGATCACTTTCCTAACACTCTTTTTTCTTTGGTATATTTCTTCTTACCTTTTTCATGAAAATGAATGATCTATAAATACAGTTATTGGTCATGGATTATTTACCTATGGGTTATATTTTTCATATAGGCAAAGTAAATGCACAGCTCAGCCAAATGAATCAGAACTTGRAGTATACTCCTCATATGACTGCAGGCATCTATTAAGTGGTAGTCARTTCTTACAAAGCAGTATCCACTTTCCCATCACTGAGCATCTGCCTCGGTCTCTTGATCTGATCTTGACAATTAGTTGTTGTAACTGTGCTATGGCCCTCTAAAAACTGAAGGTGATCTTCAGAATATTACCATTTAAAAAGTATTTAGGAATTTTATTTGGGTTATATTCGGTTATGCATTTCTTTAATATTAACCAAGTTTAAATTCACTTTTATGCATCATAACATTTTACAGATATGGAAACTGTAGCAGGACAAGATGATTTGATTTGCTTAATGTTCCCATTTAGRCCAGTGGCAAATGTCCTAGGACTCAGACTCTTTGGGGCCAGGCTCAAGGTCCTTTTCCAAGGCCATTGGCTTCTTGAACTAATTTTTGTTGTTTCTTTTTTTTTGTTGTTATTAAAGAAAATGTTTCCCTCATATAGTGTTGCCCTGAGTCTGTATCTGCGCAAAAGAAGCTTTTTACTTTATATTTTACTTTACCTTRTACAGAAAACAGATGCAGTGCAATGGAATGTAAGCAAGATTAAAACCTGAACCCCTCTTCCTTATATTTATTTTCTCTGAGGAGCCTCTTGATTATGCTCCTTCCATCTCTTTCTCTCTCACTGCTATAGTTGAATTGTTTTAGTTCTCACTAGTGTGAATGGAATATGACAAATAGTTGCTGCAATACATTATTTTTATGTATCTCAGAGGAATTCAATATTACTTTCTAATAGTAAATTAGGATTTTCGAATTTACACACTGGTAAACTACATGAAATTGTTATGCTAATTACATAGTATATGTATGGTATTATGTTCTGTTTTCTCATCTTTCTTACACTATTTCTTCCTAGAGTGATGCAAGACAACTCGGCTTACTAGGCACACCGGGAATTAAAGGCCAGAAGGGAGATGTTGTAAGTAGTTTTGATGAAATTTAAAGAAATTTCAAAGCCTGTCTCTGCCATCTTTGTGATACTTCCTTGAAGGAAAAGCAGTTTATACGTGACTGGCAATGTAGTCCAATACCCAACTTGTGCCAGCCTGCAGGTACTGCATGTAAGGCTATTTTCTCTACCTGTGCTATCCAGAAAGGGAGAGTTCAGGGAAAATTGTGTGTGGTTTCTGTGACACTGGGGACATGTCCAATGGGATGGGATACCAATGAGGGGGGAAAACTCTTTGGAAAAGTTGAAATTTAAAAAAAATATATATTTTTGATAGTAAATCATGAATGCTTCAAGTAATTTCTCTGTACAATGAGAATGTTATACAAAATATATTTATAATCAGCCTATAAAAAATACATGGAGATCAAATTCTGAATCCAGACCTTTTGACAGTGTATTATTTATAGGCATCTGCTCTGTTTAAAGAGTGGAATGAATTTTTGACAATTGGATGCCTTTTAAATTTGGAAGAAAAGAGGCAAGCCCTCCCAAATATGTGAGAGGATTGCCAACATTTTTTTTTATTGAGTCGCCTTGTAGGTCTTCTGTAGAAAACAGTAATTTAAATTAATTTGGAGATGATCAAATCTCAAATTTCCTTTGTAATAAAAGTTAAGATTGTGCCCCACACAGAGTGCAGTTCAATACAGTTTCTTTCTATTTGTTTGAAAAAAAAAAAAAAAAAGTTGTAACTATTATTTCTTTTGTTAAAAGGGTCAAAAGGGAGAAATGGGAATAACTGGTGAAAAGGGAGAAAAGGTAAAATAATTCTTTATTTCTCTGTTTGGATATGATACTAGGAAATGGCTGAACAGACTGATTATGAGTCAAATCTTGGCAAATAAACCCAGAGTCAGAAAAAATATGTAGATACACAAAAAGTTGTGGGACTCTAAATGTCCTTAGTAATTTACTGAAGCTCCATCTTGAGAGTGTATGTGTCGCTTTTTGCAGTTCCAGCCACTCACAGAACTTAAAATACATTCAGATGTTTATTGGATGCCAATTTAAAATTATATGAGTTCAAGCCGGATGATTTAGGCATGTCTCACATTTCATAAAATATAAAACATGATCATCAATACCTATAGGAAAAGATATGTTTCTTTAAAAAATTAAAATGCATAAATATGCTTTGTTGGTTCATTTTATTTTACTTTCAGCTTAATTTTCTTACGAAAGATAAAGGAGAGGCGGGAATGGAAGGTGCTACTGGGGAAGAGAAATGTATTGCCTTTTTCTGGAAGAATGTGACATGCCTGGTTCCCTACAGAATAGCAGACGWTCTTGCTGTGTTAGACTTCCAAATGACTTCTTTGGTCATGCCTTTCCATATAAATAGTTTTTCTGAAATATTTAGTCACTTAATATAAAACATTTCTGTTTGAGAATTCATCAGTTTTTTACATACTTAAACTCATTGTCACTCAATTTATAGTCCRAGCATGGCAGAACTCTGTTTTCTCCCTGTGTTCTGTATTCCTCTGTATTTAATAATTCTGTAATTATTAAATTAACATTATCCCTCAAGTGAATTTTCATAGTCCACATATTTGTGTTTTATTTAAGTATAAACCCAGTTATTTCAAAAGTTGTTCACTAAAACCAGAGATGCCAGATGTACTATTTATGATCTGAAGTAGCACTGTGAGTGTTAACATCTTCTGGATATTTCCATAGGGAGASCCTTCTGAAAAAGGAGAAAAGGGAGATCCAGTAAGTATAGTAAAGCTTTGAATTGATGATGTGAATAATCTATATTTGATCTGATTTTCATACTGCGTGATTTCATTCATGGTGAGATTCCTGTGATCTTCCTTTTTTTTTTTTTTTAATACTTCTATTAGTGGTTCTTCACTGGTTATGTAGGTTAACTTATTTTTTGTTTCTCTTTCTCATATGTGCATCAAGTTCACATAGGTTATAATAAAAATCTGAGATGCAATACAATGTCATCTTCAGCATTTCTGAACAGAAAGATTGGGACAGATAGATTGCCTCTTGTCCCTGAAATGAGTTGAAATGAGTCAATTACTTTTTTTTTTTATGGTTCTTTCTAACTTTCATGTATTTCACAGAATTTTATGTAGAATGAACCATATTATTTTAACTGCTCTATCAGTTTTCACAATGTAACATTTAATATGAGCATATACCAGTTCAATCAGGCAACAGATAAATCAAGCACCTCATTGGAAAACTCCAAAAAGAGGTCACARGCAATTTTCTTATAGCCATTTTTCTTTTTGTGTGCATAATGTTTCTTTATTTTGAGGGATATTTTCAGAACACATTGTTTACTTGTGTTGCTTTTTTTTTTTAATTAACTATTGTCCTCTCTTGTTGGATATGACGGAAGCTAATAACATTGTTTTAACACACAAGTGATGGTTGCTTAGATACTTGTGATAATCATATKGCAATATCCAAAATAAGACAGACTGTAGTAATGTGTTGTTTTGGAGATGAATACTATGTCACCAATAGAGTCGTGATTTATTGGGCAAGAATAAGGTTTTGACTGAAGAAGCTCTTAAGCAAATTTATTTCATTTTCATGCAATTGTAAATGTTTTGGGAGCCAGTAAGGAAAAACTGATAATTGTTTTGGAAGGCTAATGCGTTTCAAAGTTTCCACAAGGCATCAGCATTTTTAACTTTTTTTTTTCTCAAAATTTGTTAAATTTGTGAGCTATGTGGTAGTATTTTAAGGTAGTGCATTAAAGTCTTAGTTGATCTTACTTTAAATTTCARTTTTTTATGGTCATATCTTCTATTTTCAGGGAGAAACTGGAGTGCAGGGATTGAAAGGAAATAAGGTATTTTTTGACTTTTACACATTCTTCTTATAGCTGGTGTGTATAGCTGGTAGTGGGAGATTTGACAGTAAATTTGAATTTTTTTCTCAAAAAATATCACTAGGGTGAAACAGGAGACCCTGGACCACCTGGACTCATGGGAAGTCCAGGATCACCGGTAGGTGGGATTCATTACAGTCGTCTTCATTTGTTGTAATACAAGAGGACCCTGAGTGCTTACAACACTTCAGCTACTAGTAAAGGGCAGACTTCAATAATTTATACCAATCCTTTGTGCAAATATCAGAACAATTTTACTGCTAGTTCATAAAGTTTGAAAGATTTCAAACAATTTCAAAGATTGTTGATTTCAGTATCAATAATGAAAATTTCTTCAAATTTCAAATGTTATTTGGGCACAGAGGCAAGGAGTAACTAGTGCAGGTACATTAGCATTTCTTGTTTTAAATTCTATAAAATTGCTCATTTTAACATAGTCTCTGCTTTGATTTGAAGAAAATGGTTTATTCCTCTGAAGTTAAACAYCATCAGGAGTTCAGATGATCTCTGTAATTCTGTCAAATGAAGCTGGAAAAGAAAACTAAGAAGTTAACCACTCAAAACTCTTCATATATGTCATGTTCCTYAGGGGGTGAATAGGTACATTCTTCAGGCCTAAGCAAGGGCAACACTTCCAACCCCAGTAATTAACTTCAATTTCAGCTCTTCCTTGCAAATACTGACAGGTAGTAGAAGAGTAGCAAAGTCTCTTAGATCATGAAAAAAACACTACAAGCTGAACAGATGCAGCCCTCTTTGGTCTTTCTTAGGTAGTGCCTTTATGTGGAGATTTATGGGACTACTCGTTAGAAGATTAAGGGAGCAAAATTAACTGAGTAAAACTTCATGTGTGCATTTATATGTGTGTGTGTTTACTAGAAGGCTTTATACTGAAGTGCTACAGGGACTTTTGTCTCAAGTGTGTATTATATCATCTCACAGGGACTGCCAGGACCTCCAGGACCTGTTGGACCCAGTGGACTACCAGGAGAAGCTGTATGTGTTTTGTGTTTTCACTAACCTCTAGAAGCACAGGGTAGGAACAGTTACCTAGTGCAGCAGTATCACATGAGTTATATTGCTGGTACTCTCTGTGAGTGGTACTGTAGAAATGAGCCTTTGAAACACAGTGCTACGCTGTGGCTCAGTATACAGTTCTRCAATATGCTGTGTTACCATCTACACAAGCAAGTAAGGATGCTAATGCAAATGTTAATGTCATTATTCACAGAAAATTAACTCTACTAAATCCTATTTCAGAAGAGTAGATTAAAATCTGAAAGGATCTCTAGCAGTTTGAATAGAGATGTTAAACAGTGAACTGGAAAAGACATTGTGTGTGAAGGAAGATGAGGAGAAACAGGGAAAGTAAGCATATCCTAAGGATTTAAACACATGCCATTAAAAGTGAGGAAGATTAGTGAGATAAACAAGATAAATAGCAGTGCTTATCATTTAGCATTTAGGTCAGATTTGTGAGTAAAACTCAGAATCATAGCCAGGCTCATCTCTTCCACATTTTTATTGAAACTTGAAAGATTTAGTTCTCCAACCTGAGTAGAATGCAGTAATACATTTATTAATATTTATCTGTTAATAGAAGRCCTTTTCTAAATTAGTGTTCAAAAGATTAAATTGCCAAAATGCTGTGCAGAAGGTGTAATAAGAGCTTATTTTTATGATTCTCAGCTGGTATTTCAATTCAWTTGTATAGTGGGTTACTGACAATTATAAATTATCATTAATCTCTGTATGACTCTTATAGGTGAAAAATAGCTAAAATTGTGAACACTGACAGGCAGCAGATAGTTGTGTATATGTGGGTAAATGTCCCAAACTGAACTTTTGACCTGCTACTTGCTAGCTGCAAATGGAGCTGGTTGTAAATTTTGATAGCATCTGGGCTAAACAAAAGTGGCACATCCCAAATTCTGCAGTTAAGAAAGAGGCACCAGTTAGGACCACCGAGTAGGATTCTCAGCACTGGTTGTGCTCCCTCATGGGGACTGTTCAGRTTGCAAGAGCCACAGGACTGGGATTCCAGAAGGAAGAAGCGATACTGAAAAGGAAGAGGCTTCCCAAAAGGAAGAAGTACTTTCAGAAGGAAGAAATGGGAAAAAAGGGGGAAAATAAATATACAAATAAGTGAGTGAAGATCTTTGTTGGGGGAAAGATCCAGAAAGCAGGGCAATTTCCACAGAGCTTGGGTGGAAGTGAGTGAGTGAAAGTGTGAGATGATCAAGCAGGGTAAAACCTTTCATCTCACTCTACCTGTTATGCCCCTGGGGTGGCAGAGACCCCCATCTGCCTGGTCAGGGCTCATCAAGCCAAGCACGGGCATCATGGGGAAATGAGTGTGTCTGTGGGCATTGCACTTCTGGGCAGCAGCCACATGGATCTTCATCGATGGACAAGGTCTCTCGTACCAGCAGGGGCCTGACCAGAGATCCAGTGCATCTGTATCACCTTCGTGCTAAGTGTGGAACGTTGTAAATTAACAATCAACATCATTCGTCCTGTGCAGCATGATAAGAATTATGAAAGATTGAACATAATTTACTTTCACTTACATCATCAAAGAACCATCCACAGATAAGATTTGCCTCTTTCCTTTGCTAATATGCCTTTTATGCTTGATTGTGGAGAAAAAAGAGGAGAAAGGAACCCTGAGAAATCCTTAGAAAAAATACAGCAAGAGTGTATGTATTTTATATCAACACCAAAAGGGGATAGGGCAGGACATGATATCTGATCCATAACTGGTAAATTCAACTTTCCACTTATTCTTGTAATGATTTCATGTTAGCAAAAGCAAAATATTTTCCATTCAGCTACATTTCATTTTTTTCTCATGCCTTTAATTTGGATGAGTGTGTGAAACAAGTAGCTGTCTCTCTATAGAGAGCACAGAGCTGGTGAACCATCATTACCTACATGAAAATGTCATCATCCTTCCGATACAGATTCTCACAAAGCAATATTTAACACTGCAAGGCAAAATAAGAGTGATATGGATTTCTGTGGCTTTTCCTCAGAACATTAATGTGTAGATGGACATGGATATGACTGTTTAGTTTAGCCACTGGGGTTCTTAACAAAATGCTTTATAAAAACATTGTCTGAATAGCATTGAAGAGAGTTATGGGAAAAGTTTTCTGTATTTGTTCCAACATAGTACGAAAACATGAGCAATGAATTTAAACTTCTGAATTATTCGAATGGTTTCTATTTAGATTGGATTAGATTAGATTTGATTTCTCTGCATTTATACCAACTCTTTGATGAACGGGGAAAAGAATATACTGGAGCTAAAAGCAAAATATGGAAGACGAAAAGGAGAATCAGGCAAAAAAAAAAGAATGGAATACAGTTATTTTGCTAAAATATTTTAATATATCCCTTGAAATATTTTTAAGGAGTTTAAGGAACTAAGTGATATGCAGGAGTAGGAAGTTAGTGATTTTTTGAAGTAAAAAATGACATTTACATAAATGATGTAGGAAATCTTGAGGTCCTTTATAACAAAAGATCTGTGTTTATAATTTGAAACTCATTTTTGTACCTGTTACCATCTTCCCTGAAAAATGTTTCATTTTCAAGATTTGGGATTGTTTGGAAGTTAAATTAAACTAATCTTGGGACTCTGCTGCTCTGCCCTGGTAGGACCTAGAAATAATGTTGAGTAAAAAGTATTGATTTAAAGGAAAATGATACATATATTTGAACAAATTAACATTCATTAGCTTGAACTCTGTCAACATCTGGGCCAGTATTAATGCAAGGTAAATAAGCCGATAAACTCATTTTCATTTGTAATTGTAGATAAATTTTAAGGGAGTATGCGATAAAAATGCAAAATTACATTTTTAATTAATTCAAGGGCTTACCAGGAGATCAAGGGATACCAGGAAAACCAGGAGATAAAGGAGAAAAGGTATGTTTTAATTGCTTTTAATTAAACTGTGCATGTTAGAATATACTTGACTGCTCCTGAAATAATCTTCCATCCTATTGTAGCTCTTCTCTCTGATTTAAATGAATTGATTTAAAAATGAAAAAGAAAAAACAATCTGCATCTCTTCCTCAGAGATGCCGCAGGCCGATATGAAAACATAATTGCTTTYTAGAATACCAACGTAGGTATTATTTCAAGAGAGGTTCAACTGAGGTCTTAGACATAGCCTACACAGTTCAGAAAAACCAATTCAGGCCCTGAAAGTGGAACAGCCTTTTCAGCAGAATGTCCTAGTCACACACTAGGTTTACTAGAGGTAAACCTTTAACTTGAAGCCAGAATAATTAATCTTGGAGGAGAACCAATGCCACAATTCTGCCTCCAGGTCTCAGCCCCATTTGGGATCTCCTTATGGCATTGCTTTGTGCTGTGTAAGCATTCCCTTAGTTGGAATTCAGCTACAACAGTGACTGTGAGAGCGACTGAGAAGATGTTATTTTGGAATTATTGGCCAGATTTTGTCATCATACCCATATTGGAAGATTGAGGAGAAAAAAAGTACAGATACATGATAAGTATGTATTTTCAGATGACTTTCCATTTAATGATCGAAATTTGTCTTGTAGGGGGACCCTGGTGGGATTATGGGACCACCTGGGCATCCAGGTCCAAAAGGTGAAGTGGGGCCTCCTGGATCAAGTCTGCCAGGAGCACCAGTAAGTCCATACTCCGAAATGGCTTTTATGACATCAGTTTTTTTAGGGAAAATAATTAAAGAATTCTCATGGTGCAGTGAAAGGAATCAGAAAAAAAAAAATCAGCTGCAATTCCAAAGTCAAAATACATGCAATACTAATATTTTAAGTGCATTGAAGATACAGTTTGGAAATTTGTATTGTTTAGTGCAACACACATAGTCCTAGTTGCGGTGGTTTTAACAAGGAACACACATTCTAAATGTATGATAGTTTATTTGTAAAGGCTGGCTAATTTAGGTAATAAGATTTAGCCAGTCTCTTTGACTTCAAAATAGAACTATCCTTTTGCTTTTCTATTTTTGTTTTGTTTTGTTTTGTTTCTTTTTAGGGTCCCATTGGTATTCCTGGAAACCCAGGTCCACGGGGACCCAAGGTACAGAAAAAAATATTTTAATTCCTGTTTCTGAAAGTATAGGATTATGGGCTAGATTACATTTTCAGAGCAGATTTARCTGAAAGGTTTCTATCCTTTCAGGGAGAACGAGGACTCCCTGGTGTGCAAGGAACTCCTGGGGAGATGGGGCCTCCTGGCCTGGGCATTCAGGGATCACCAGTAAGTAYTCCAACACACCAACAATTTGGGCTTCTCACTGGCCATCATTGTAGATAAGGCATAATAAACAGTAAGGACACRAACTCTCCTCCACCTACTGATTTCCAGCTCAGCATCTTTTCCTTTTATCAGGATAAACTCTGTGAAAACTGTAGTTTTTCACTCAAAAGTGGGTATCRAGAGACCAGAAGGAGTTGATGGCTACATTGCACATAGGCTTAATGCGAGTGGTGTTGAGACACCTCCAGACCAACTGGGTCTGTTTGCAATCAGCAATTGTTTGCAGTTGTCAGCAAAATCCATCCTGTGTGTAGTTTAGTCTACATTGAGGGTGGTGGCATTTTGAAATACATGCTGCTAGTGGAAAAGGCAAAAATGTGTTTTGCCTTCAGCCATGGGAGGCTTTGTGACTGCTCTGAACTTTTGCATTGGTGATCACTGCTCATTTTTGCTCATTATTTGGGGTTTTCTTGCAGGGTCCAATGGGTCCAACTGGATCAGCAGGTGTCCAGGTAAGAATAAGTATTCTGAGTAATATATATTAAAAAAAATTGAATTGTAAGTAGTTTACAATAGAGAAAAAATTCTTAAATCCAAAATAACTTTTCCTGATTGTAGGGCCCTAGAGGACCCCCTGGATTACCAGGAACTCCAGGTACCCCAGGAATTAATGTAAGTAACAGTCTTGCAGATAGCCCATAAAAAATAACATGTCCCTTGTCAATGATATAAGGCTACTGATTCGAATTTTAAATTTCTAGGGCACTCCAGGACGAGATGGAAAGCCAGGACTTCCAGGCCCTCCAGGTGATCCTGTATGTATACACAGGATTCTTGCATATTTGCTTTGTACTAATATTTCAATTTGGTAGTAATATTTTTTTGTGGGAAGTCTGAATGAATAAGTTAAATCAATTATTCAATTAGCAAAGCACTTGTTATTCTCATTATATTATTTTGCAGTGTAAATTATCTTGTGTCCACATTTGTATGATAAATTTCATGTTTTCAGGTAATGCAGTTTGTGTAGTAGAGTTTGCTCCAGCTTTAACTTGGTATAGCGTATCTCCTGCATATGCAGGAGTAATTCTGTATAAAAGAACTATTTCATATTTTTATATATATATAWAAATATATGTATATATACATATACCTATATACATGTATAAATATATATTGGAAAAAAATTATTCTTTATGTGTAGTATAAAATTGCAGGAACATATTTTGATGGTTCCTGTGTTACAAGATTGAAAAAGAAAGTTTTCGGATTCTGAAAACTAGTTTTGCTCTGTTGTATTAGGAAAGCATGAATTTTTAATGAAGCTCTGAAAAGAATTAGCCTGTAGTGTGATTAGTTTCCTTTAACTCTAATGAAAAAAAAAGTCTAAGTTATAAAAAAAAAAAAMCACTAAATGAGTTCTGAACCTTCAACTAGTTTTTGGAGTTGTTATCTCCTCTTGAGTATTATAGCAGTGTATTTGTATGCAACAGTGCTATGGCTCTACAGATTTTGTAAAGTTCAACATTGCAAGAGCCATAAAGTCAACTCTTGCTTCAGGCCAAATTGTGCCTTTAGAGATACTTGCATGCTTTAGATGGGAGTCAAGAGAGTCTCTTGTCCCTGCAAAATCTGCAAAATTTCCCAAACAGCAAGCCTGTAGTCATTATTCCTGCTCCTGTCTTGAATCAGCTGAAACTAAGAGTTCCCACGACTGCATCAGAAGTTTCATAAAGTAACTTTTTGTTTAGAAACCAGTGCTTACAGGCACTTTTATGACAGTGAAAAGCTTTCTAAATTCCCTCAGCAGCTATTGGAATGTATCCCATCAGCAAAATAAAAATCTGTAGATGACTGGAAGAAACAAGTCAAACCAGAGCTTAAAATAAAGTATTGTTAAACTCGCTTGTGTTCTTGTTGGTTTAGTAGGATTTTATCTTTTCTAAGAGATTTTACCCAAAGGCATAGTTCTAGAAAAGCAGGGAGATACAATGATAGTATTCTTCATGCAAAAAGTAGTGTTTGTTTAAGACACATCATAGCATCAAGAATCAGRATCATGAAATACATTATTTTTCAGTGGTGCCAATGGGTCAATTGGTACCTGCATTAGCATCAGTCACTGGAGCAGTGATTCTCATGTTGCATAGGTTAGTCCAACTATATTATTGGTCGATTTCCCTCATTTTGGAATTTCCCTCATATCCCTCAAATCCAGCTGCAGCACAGTGCAGTGAGATTTTTCATTAGAGATGAGTATAAAACCAAGAAATAGGCCCTGTGGACATAAATAGTAAGATATAGTTTTAGTATTTAATAATGAGTGAAATCAGATTACAGTCTGAGCAGAGACACCTGAAGAATTCAGTAGATTTTCATTGTCCACAGGAAAAAAAAAAAAGTGTTTTCAGAAAAAATATTTTAAAAATTAATAGAAAAAATAGGTTAAAGAGCTTTTAGACACAATATAAATATCTGCTGGAGCAGAGCAGTTTCTGAATTATTAGTTTTTTTGAGTACTTTGAAAACTGAAGCTTTTGGAGAAGGGAGAAATACAACAKAAAACATATCTTCATAGAGAAGGTGGATAGAAAAGGAACTAGATTATAATAGGTCAGCTGAATGCAACTTTAATCGCTGGAAAGATTTGAAATAAGTATTTTTAAAAACTGCCTTATCAGTACCAATGATATGGATGATACTGTGGAGATACAAAAATGTTAGAATGAAATTTGTTAAGAAATTCGTTAAGAAATAATCATGGAATAAATCAGATTTCTCCTTTAGCAGGTTAACTTTTTCAGGAGATACAAGGAAGCAGTGATGTTACACACTTCAGTTTTAATAAAATTGTCCTTTAATAAAAACATTGTCCTCATGGTATTTTCATAAATGAGCTAAAATTGCTGTGGTATTAATTGATATATAATCAGTGATTATCAAAAATACAAATGTGAGTAACTAGCACAGATTATGGTCAGACTTGGGAAGAGAAGTCCCTCCCATGTCTGGTTCTTTTTAATGTTTTAATTTGATTAGGATAATGAAATAGATATAAAATCTATAACTAGTCTGGGTTGGATTGCAAGCTTTTTGAAGATATAATCAAATTTTAAAATTCCGAGAGACAGCCTACAATCAGCAAGATGAAACTCAAGACAGATGAGCATGAATTGTTTAATAGGAAAACCAAAATACATAAGTGGAATAGGTGCCAGAAGGCACAGTATGTTTGTAAACTAAATACAAGGAGGGAATCTGATATCACTGCAAAAAAAAGGCAGAACTTGTTTTATAAATGTTCATAGCAGAATTATTGCCTTCTGCAATACTCTCTTGAAATACAATACTCTCTTGAAATACTGTCTCTCTTTAGAGACAGTCTTCTAAAAGGAAGATTTAGGAAATAACAAATAGTCCAGCAAATTCATGCCCAAGTTAATATCATCTATGCGTTATCGGATCCCTTTCTAGCTCGAGTCCCTATCTTCACAAGATACTAAAGCTTAAACAAAGGCAGAGACTGCTTAAACAGCAGAGACTGAAGGAATTAGGTTTTGTAGTCTAGAAAAAAAAAAAAAAAARAGGAAGAGGAGATGTGATAATAGTCTGAACTATTTCTAAAAAGTTTTTACAAGGAGGAGGATAAAAAATCAGGCCATGATTTTTGTAAGGATGTGGGTTTTTTATTATTTTTAAGATTTACTGTATGCTTCTAAGAGTAATGACATGGTCTGTATTCAGTCTGCATTTATGTCAGAGATTGACTTCACAGCTTATATGTGTATGCTTTTAAAAGTATATTATGTGGCAATATCTTACTATGGAAAACACTTCTCAACATGCATTTCAGAGGTGGTAAAGCTACATTGTAAATGGTGTAGTCCTATAAGTATGTTCAACAGGGGTTCTGTTCATCTGGTATGTGAAACTCACTGCTACCAACAGGCACTTTTYCTAATATGCTAAAAAATGTTTTCCATTTTTTTTTTTAATAAAAATGATATATTTTTCATTTTTAGAATTTGAAATTGATGAAAGAGATTGGAAAAACATCATCCAATTACACACAGAATTAGGTCTTTCTTTTAGTAATTGCAAGAATAATTTCTTGGTTTAAAGAAATGAGGTTTGGTAGCTGAAGAGTCTGTTCATAATTGAAGGTGATGATACCAGTTCAGTCAATTTTTACAAGCAGTCTTTCCAAATAAGATTAACAACAACACTTGGGAATCTGCAGATGCAGATACCCAGTACAGTACAGTGTGAAGCTATCAATTAAGCTTTAACTGAGATATCCTTGGCATTGGTAGCAATTTGGCTGTTGCTTTGTGGCACCACAGAGTTTTGCACTAATTCTTAATGTTTAAAAGCAGGGCACAACACTATATTTGGCACTTGTGTTGCTGTGGCTGGATTATTTCCAGTTTTTGAGCTAGCTTGTTCAAGTTATTTTTGTTATCTTCGCACATCATGCTACAGTTCACAATAATGTCAAAGCCTTGGAGAAAAAAGGAGGAAAACACTGAAGATAATCATGCAGTGAGAATTGTGTCTGAGAATTTCCAACAGTGATGAGCTCTTAATGGCTGGCTACAAGAACATCAATATTTAATTTTTAAAAATGATTAACAGTGGAATTGAGCATTAAAACTGCATTTGAATCCTTGATTTTTGTATAGAATTTTAATAGTAGTTTCAGACAGAATATATGTAATCAAACTATGTATGCAACAATATGAACTTTTGAGTACCTATGAGAATCAATGTTGTGTAAATTATTATTCATGCAAAATATTAATTGTAGTTGCTCTTTTTTAATTTCAGATTGCACTGCCTCTTGTGGGAGACATGGGTACTATACTGAAGGTAAAAATTTTCTGTGGTTAAATAGCTCTTTGTCATGAGCATACTTTTTAAACCAAAATGTGTGCTTGCACTTTTCCTTTGGTTAGGTGAGGTCCTATTTGGTCTTTCCGAAAATCATTTTGAGATTTTTGTTAATTCTCATTTTGTTTAAAAAAAAAAAATAAACAAGAATGTTTAGTATTATTAGTACTTATTAAAATTACTATTAATTATATTATTATTAAATCAGTTTTAACAGTATTATTAATAATACAAACAAGAGTGTTTGATAAGATTTTTTCTCTTTTCATAAAAATGAATATAGTTATTGAATGTTAAGYGAGTTAATTTACTGGCAGGTACCTGTTCGGTGCATCCAGTCCATGTATGAATTGCTTCTACCATTCTCTGCTTTGTGCTCTAGCATTTGATATTGGGAATATAGCAAAGGRCGAAAATAATGTGGAAGTTCTATGACATTATCTTAAAAAATAATAACATGTGATGTGGCCTGCAATAATACAAAGAGAATTTTTACATGAAAAACATAAGGAGACATATTATTCTACTCTCCTTTCTGTTATTAATGCATGTACTTATGGCTTATTGACTTAGTCATTCCCAAATTATATTTCTTTAATTCTTTTACAGGGGTTTTCCCTCATCCTTTCTAACTGTAACACTATCTTGTTTCTCGTGTACATGCATGTCCTTCTCCTGTGACATCTCTCTGTCTTATTGATTCTTCATGCTTCATTCTCCCTATCTCTTATGTATTTTGTGGTTAGTACTTTTATAAGATTAAAACTGAGCTGGAAGATGTTTCTCCCAACAAAGCACTTAATTTATCATTTAATTAATCATTTAATTTAAGATAATTAGAATCATTTAAATTAAGATAACTGCAGTTTTGAAACTGGTAAGACTAACAAGTGGCTTTCATTCCTAACTCATCCTTTAAAAGAGAATAGAGGGCTGAAATCTAAATACAGATATTTGGTGCTATCCAAAATAAAGGCATTTCTGAGTCTTCTCAAGAGTGAAGCTAATGGAGGTGAAAAGCTTGTGTTCAAATGGGTTGAATATGGGAAGAGCATGTGAGAGTTGGGGGGAGAGAGAGAGAGGGAAGGAAATGGGAATAAATCTTTTGTGTAGAAGTGAGTGAGACTTCTTTTGAGCCTCCAAAGAGGGCTTTTGAGTAATAGCACTAATAGAAGCTGTGAATGAGGAAATTTTGCTCATGTCAACAAGGTTCTATACATTTCTGTGCACTTTGCTGACATTTTCGCTGATGTTTCCTTCTAACTTGAGTAATCTTTAAATCTTGAACATTTCTTAACTCTAAGGGAAAATGGGGCTACTTTGAAGTTAAAAAAAGTGGAACAACTCATTTTCACATTTTGAAAATGCTGTGCTATCTCTTTTTAAAGGAAATAATGTCATTATCTCATAAAACAGATTGAGACTAGGAAGATAAAGATACGTGGTAATAAGAAATTAAGTATAYCTTATCTTAATTATATGTATATATTATATATTTTAATTAATTACATATATTATTTCCTTTTACTGCAATTCYGTGGTCTCAGAGCTATGAAAATAATTTAGCCCAAATCCTACATTTGGACATATTTTTAACAACTTTATATTGTCGGATTTACATCTGTTTCACATTATTTCCAAACTTGTCCTAATAGTATGCACCATATTTTTCTAACTTCCTTCTTACAAATTGTAGCATTATTTTAATTATTGAAACTCAACATGTTTTATTCAAATAATTGATTTAGTATTTCTTTGTTCATGAGCAAAAAAGATAGGTATTTCTAATGGAACGTTTGTAAAAATAGTAAAGTCCATGTTTCTATAGCAGTAAGTGTGAAAATAGAAGGATGCTCATCAAGTAGTGATAGGCACAAAGGCACGGAGGGAAAACAGCAGTTGTAACTTAACATAGCTCAGGTCTTCCACCCTTGTAATGGAAGTGGTTATTATCACTTCGCTTTGTGTCTGTTCCTCAGGGTGATCCTGGCATAAGAGGTCCTCCAGGCATCCCTGGTAGAGAGGGGCCAAAGGTAAGAGTTTTATTTTTATTTGTTTGTTTGTTTTGAAGAAATTGCTTTAGCTTGCTTTGTTGTTCGTTCAAAATAAAAAGATCAAATTCTTACATCTGTCAGTCTTAACGCTTTGTCTATAGTGTCTGAGCACCCTAAAGCTTCAAACATTTTTTAAATTCAGCCCTTCTTTCCTGAGCTAGTATCAGTTTTCTCTCCATCTCTCCTTCCTCTCCTCTCAATCATCTTTCTAATGATTGAACAAATTAGCCCTACTTGGGTACCAAGTCAAGCTTTTATCCTGCATCACCTAAAGACAGCTCAGATTTAATTATCCAATAGTGCTTTATTATCTTTAGGCTTATTTTAAGTGAGTCAGTCATGCAAGAAAGCTGCCCTCCCATATATCAGTCAAGTATGTGGTAATTGGCCTGTTCTGTGTATTTGCAAGTTGTTCCTCGTGGGACTAACTCCTCAGGTCCACGGGGACATGAAGTTGCACTGAAGTCAGTCAAGCTTGTGCTTTACTGTGATTGATCAAATACCACCTGGTTTGGCATGTAGTACAATCCTGAAAGTCTACTTWCTTAATTTGAACAAGTACTTGAACTCTCTGGAATTTATGAGCTGAAACCGTATTATCTCCATGAGTCTTTTTGACTAATCTACCTACAGGATAAACAATGTCATGGCTTGTCAACACCATCAATAGGAGGCACATTTTAAAACTTTCAGGGCAGATTTTTTTTTCTATTTTAGGTTTCCTCTCTGTGCTATAAGCTCTTCATTCTAGCATATATTAAATATGTGCTATGAAACCCTTTACAGAGCATGATATTTGTTGTGCTGCTAATGGAAAGTATTTATTTGAATACTATATTTTTATAGGGGAACAAAGGTGAGCGTGGATTTCCTGGGCTTCCTGGAGAGAAGGGTGATGAGGTAATTTTTTTTTTTTTTTTAATTTCAGTTACATTCTTATCCAAACTGGAATAAAGAACTAAGCTGAGAATTAAATGCATAAAATATTCATTTCATTACAACTGTTGAAATAGTCACATATTGCTATGAATAGCCCCTCATGCTGAGCTTTCAAGATTAAATGAAGTTATTCAATTAAAAAGCTATTTCATCTTCACACGAATGGTTTTGCTCGTTTATATATTTCAAAGCCTCACAAGATTTAAATGGTAAGTTTTAATATCATAAGCTAGAGCAAGAAATGAGTAAATGTCAAATATTTTCAAAAAATATTCTTCATGTTTTAAAAGAAATTTGTTTTCATGGTGTTAGTTCTTTAATATTCACTTTCAAAAATATTCCATTAGGCAAATGCTAACAGGGAAACAATCATCACTAATTAGTGTTTTTCTTAAATATATTTGAAGAGACAATTTAAAATATGTACAGTATTTTACATCATGTACTGAGTTATTAAGAGTTATTTTTATCTCAAAGATGAGCAAAAAAGTCATATAACTGATAACGTCTAATCTCAAATATCTACAATAGCTTTCATATTAAATTAAAATACTTGTAGTTAAAAGTTCGTGAGTGAATTCTTTTTAAAAAAAGTGAACATAGCAAAAGGCATTAAGCAAATAGATCTGAATAAATAAATACGTTTTCAGTGACCTTTGTCAACTGAAGGAGTTAAAATGAGCAGTCTGTTAAAAACAATTTCTTGAACCCTCTGAAAAGGGAAAGTACCCAGCTGATCCTTGATAAATAAAGAGTATTTGCTTTTAAATCGAAGATCTGGCTACAAGAGAAAATACCAGGAAAATAGGAGAGAAATTCTGAGTTTATTTACAGGGGTGTTTTTTTGGAGGGAAAGAGGTAAAATTATTTTTGTTCGTTTTATATTTCTTTAGAGCTAAACTTATAAATGTAGTAAGAGAGTGAGTTAATTTGCCCAAAGTCTGTGTTGTTCAGGCTCCCAGGTTCAAAGGAATAAACAGTTATATGAGAATAATTAGTAATAATAATAAATAATAAATAATAAATAATAAATTAATAATAATAATAATAGTAATAATAATAATAATAATAATAAAGAAAGCACTAGATATATATCTGCCTGGCTGCTTTGCTCTAGAATTTAGCAGATTGCCAGACTAGAAATAAAGCAACAGCATTTGATCACTACATTATGAGGGGACAGGATAGCTTGTTTTCAGACACATGTGAGGACATAGAAACACTTTTATAAAAGAGTTGTTTTTAAGTTAATGGGTCTGCATTTCTTAGATCTGTGTGATTTCATTAGTATCCAGATGTAATGGGCTTTTCAAAACGTAATCGCTAGTTCTTTGGAATGAATGGAAATCTCTCTTACACTTCAGAGTGCTTTCAAATAAACCTTTACAATTTGTTTGAAGCTGCTTTCTCTAACATAATACATAGATAATATAAATCAGAGATGTGTAAAATATATTAATCATCATGATAAAAGATTCAAGTGAAATCTTGTCCACATTTAATATTGCAGTAAGTTAAAGTGCCTTACTTGCCTCTTTAACACAGGGTTATATGTTTGCCTTTCCTCTCTCCTCTAGAGAGAAAGGTCATTTACTCTAATATTACTCTGTAAAGTCAATCTCATTACTTAAGGTGTCTTGAATTTTACCGTAGCCCAAGATAAAAAAGTCAGTAATYGTTCTTTTTTAGAATGCATTTCCTTATGGAAAGGTGTGTTTTAGAGCAAGGAGTCACCTATCTTATATAATGGGTGACCATATTTATTGCAAGATTAAAGCAATTTAAAATGGCCAAAGAAAACATTATCTGTTGGAAAGCCCCTCTGAAAAAGTGAAGAAGCGGATCAATTTCTTGTGTGTGGAGGGACAAGAATAAGGAAACTAGACTTTCTCCATTCATTCCTTCTTTATTTCCATCTGAAGTTTTCCCTTCAGACTTTCCCTCAGAGCCCTTCTTTCAGGGCTTCTGACTTCTTTGGATTTCTTTACTTTCGGCTTAGCAATGTTGTTTCAAATCCCRTATTTAACATGAGAAAAATGTCTTGCCTGAAGTGATTACTCTTCCCAGAGCACAGGCACCCAGTGCAGGTAACGTGAGTCAATATTGAGAGCAACCTCTTTCACTTCACGGAGTAGAAAGGGCATTTAGAGCAATTGGCTCAGACATAGGCATTTAGCTTTTCCAAGTCTAAAGTTCCCCCAGAGTCCATGTCAATTTAATGAGGCAGAAGAACAAATCAATTGTCATGCAGACTGGCCTCAAATCTGACCTTAATTTTCTATAATAAGTTACACACTTGTATGTCTAATAAGTGGATACCAGGATCCACTGCTTTGCAGTACCATAGAATGAGTGGGATGGTAGGTTATTAGATGCCGTGGAAAATGTAATGTTTTATTATCAAAAAGCCAAATCTAAATCTGCCAGAAGGCATTACCTTATGCAGATACCATCAAGTATCATTCAGAAGTCTGAGTAGATGCTTTTTCTTCCTAGCAAAACACTTTATAGTGACAGGAAATAAAATAATCTCTAAGGAAAGAGATATTCTGCTCTTATCTGCATGGCTGAAGACAAAAAGATATAAAAGACATGAGTATAAGTGGAAAAGAGTGGAGGATGATTGGATTGGACTTGAGATTTTGTTTTTCAGTTAAACCAGAACTGCCTGTTACCATGTTCTATGATACCCTGTCCAATACATGTGCATTTTGATTTTCAGGGTCTTCAAGGTGTTCCTGGACTGCCTGGTGTAGCAGGACCCAGTGGACCTTCTGTAAGTGTTTGATGTCATCTGTCATCTAATCTATCCCTGCAGAGGCTGTTATAGCTAGTTCAATAAAACTCATATTCTTAATTTCTTGTCTCTACTCTTAAAAGAGACTTTGCCTTCTTTCGACTTCTGAAAGAATATTAAAATTTAATCCATAATGGCTCGAATAGAACAAAATATGTTGAGATTACTAAAAACAGGTCAGTCAGGACTCTTAAAGTTTATGTAATTTGCATGCATTTGGTGTTCTGTTATTAGAGACTTTGTGAGGTAAAATTACTTATGCTGTACAAACTTACAGATGATTATGGATTTGTACCCAAGTTACTCTACTAATGTTGGTGATAAAAATCTAATAATGATTCTAACTGGTCATTCTRAAAACATTCTAAAAAAATGATAGCAAGTAATTATGAAGTAGGAAATTAAATCGGCTTAAACCACTGAAAAAATGTGGTTAAGGCAATCACAAAAAAAAAAATGTTGATCYAAGAACATTTCCTTTGGGAATATTTTTAAGTTTTATGCCTTATATATAAGATGCAGATCACGTTTGTTACTGTGGCCATTATTCATTCCAAGGTTGCTTACAGTACTAACGCTAGTCCTCTTTCAAAAATTGTAACACATTTAAGGAGCTTAATGTTAAATATGTAAATAGATATTTTAGCAGGAAAGCGTAATTCTTAGCAGTATCAAGAGGTGCTAGTTAAAGGTCAGTCCATTCAGTTTGCTAAGGTGAAAATGCAACCACAAATGCAATTTTTACCCTTCATGGGGCTTATCAGTAGGATGCAGCTGTTGTATCAGTCAAGCGAGAAAAATTTAAACCTGGAGGAGAAACTTAATTAAGTTTAAATGACCTTCAAAAAGTTCAAGTTTTCAAAAATAACTGCAATGCAAAATACTGTGCAAAATACTGTACATTTCTTAACTAACAAAGACCAATACTACTTGTGCAGGGAGTCACAGGAAGACCTGGACATCCTGGTCCCCCAGGACCAAAAGGCGAAAAGGTATTCCTTCTTTTCAGTCTTGGTAAAGATATGTAAAGATTATGTAATCCTGTTACTTTTTGATGATCTGAAAATGTTTTAAACATGCAGTGCAAACAAGAATTTCACATACAATACATTACCAAATGAATTTTCGTTGACTTATTTATGCCTTAATAAATATGTCTCAAAGAAAGCCATGCCTATGAGCTTTTGTTTTACATTATAACCTTAGTAATGAATCTAAGTCCCAGAGAACATTCTCTAATATGACATATGATATAAAGTTATAAAAATGAAAATGCCTTTGTGAAATATTACATAACCATTAGCTACTTGTTCTCATTTCTTTTCCAATATTTTAGAAAAAAATTTATATCTTAAAAGCACTCAGAAATACTGAAAGTTGTTTAGTATGATCTGCAAAAGTATGGAAGCTTCCTCTTTTTTTCAAACTTAACTTGCACTGTTTTTATCAGTATTTTATGTGTTCTTTTATCAAGCAATTGAAACTACCCATTGTAGATAACATGTCAAATTTATTTCAGGGCACCTCAAATCAGTGAAGTACAGCAGACATAAATGTAGCCTGCTGCAAAATATTTTCTGGGACAACTTTGCCATTTGGCACATGAATACACATTCCTGAGGCTTATTTCTGCTTTAGCCTGGAGTTTTCCAGGCATATTGCTGCCATATCAGAATATGGGGTGCTACCAATATGCTACAAAACTTTTAACTGCTTTGAGTAAGAAAAAGTAAACTCTTCATTTTGTAAAGCTATGGAATTACTTCAGTATAAAAATTAGTTGAAAATTGTCTCATTCTAAATCATAATAGCAAAAATCTGTCACATTCATTTCCTTTTCAAGTCACTACAGGAAAATCCAAGTCTAATGCTCTGTTTATGTGGAACTGATCAAAGAGTCTAAGAATGCAGTGGTAAATCAGCCACTCAACACCTATACACTTTTTTTCCTTATATTTTTGTTGAATTATAACTCTTAAATATCAAGAAAAGACAACCACTTGCTCTCACATGAGGGACYGAGAGCACCAGTTCTCCACAATTACTCTCCCATACGTGAAAAAGGGCAGAAGCCTGACCCCTGAGGAGTGATGAAGTTGAGTAAAATATGGTCAGAACACTTTCCATCTCCTCCTTCTCTTTGGGAACCTCCTTTTGGGGACGGGTCATATAATATGTTTCCTAGAGTATTTTGTCTTCCCCTGAAGTACTCCAAACTCCTCTTYGGAAGTTGACACCTCTTAAAACTTTGCAACTAGAAACATATTTTCAGTAACCTGATCAGAAAAAAAGTTGAATTAATGTCTGAAATGCATATTCCAATATAATTGTTAAAAATGTGCTTTGAATATAAAGATTTTATATTTCTTGTGAGATAATGCTTGCTGTTGGATCCTTAGCTTGACTTTTTCCTTGTTAACAATTTAAATAGGCAGCCTAAGCCTTCATTAAGCCTAAGCCTTCATTAAGCCTTCATTAACATGTTGTTAATAAGATCAAATGACTGAGTGAAATATTGTGACATACTTGCTCCAAACTTTTTTCCACTATTTTTAGCTAAATTATAGTAATGACATTCTGACAGTGTTTTGCTTCTAAGGGAAGCAAACCTTAAACCTTTGTTAACTCCTTACAATTTAGAGAGTTTACTGGAGCAAAAACTCTGAAATTTTTTTTTTAGTATACAGTTCAGTTTATGTCAACAGAACAGGCTACAGCTACAAATATCCACAGATAATAATGGAAAAAAAGATCCTTTATTTTACTCAATACATTTCAATGAGAAGTGTTTCTGGATAAAATGAACTTCTGAAGCTGTGATTCTTTGTTATTTATCTGTGAATGAACAAATCAAAGACAGCCTTTACCAAAAAAGTAGTATAGAACAAATGACAAGGAATGCTACCTTTTATCTGCCAGTTGCACTGAAGTTTATATCAACAACCCTTCATTTCTCTGCCTCCTGGCACCTATGAAATATATGCTGTATTCTGAAATTAAAATCATCCCATCTTATCAGTACTATTTTATCGTAAGGAAATTACTATAGATAAGGCATTATAGCAAAATAAAAGCTAGTCTAGAAAAGTGAACAGTTTGCCTTAAGCATGAGCTGGGTAGGATACTTCATTCTTGATCTTATCTGCTCATATTGACTGTAATTCTTTTTTATTAGTCGTTATGGTCACTGTAATTTGGCTGTTGGGTAGACTTGAACCTCAGGTTCTGTGAGTGAGTTGTATGAATCTCTTGCTGTACTAGGGCAGTGAAGGTTCTCCTGGGAAGCCTGGACCACCGGGGCCTCCGGTAAGACATTTTACTTTATATTTTGAATGTTATGTTAGAAACAAATCCGGCCAAAACTGTGGTCTGCTTCTGGCCTTTCTCTAGGACAGTTATTCCTTTCTGCCCCAAGKCTAACTCTAAAGCCATTTCCTAATGTAGCCTAGAGGACTGTTAGTCCTTGCCTAACAGTTCTGTAAATTCAATCTAATTCCCAGGAAACTGTCTACAGCAACAGTTGATTTTGAATGAGGATGTAATAAGAACGTCAGAGACGTGGCTTAAGGAGAGCAGTGAGAGGGGCACTGTAATACCAGGGTAAAAATTGCCTATGAATGACAGAATAACTAATGCTGACTATAAAAGAAAATTTAAGGTCAAGATAAATCTTAAAGTTAAAAAAGAATCGCTATAAATTGAATTTCTGTGCCCCCAAAATGAGAAAGAGGAATAATACTGTGATCTAATTAGGATGTTAGCAGAGACTGAGACCTATGAAGGGAAACTAGAGAGTGTAAGATGGCAGAAACAGCATAAAACTGCAGACTTCAGATGCTGTCATGTAGATGGGTAAATGTCATGATGGGGTTTGAAAYAGAGGCTACATTCTGGGTACCATGAATGCGACTCCTGTGAGTTGTCACTCATAACTCAAAATTTAGCCAGAGAAGTGCATAGGATCTCATCAGTCAAACCTGAGCATCAATTTAGAGTTAACAGTTCAAGATTTAGCATTCTCAAAGCACTTGAAGCTGTAGCTTAGATGCTTTCCAGTTTTCCAATTAGCATAAGCCTTCAAATTTGAAAATAAAATGCAAAACACCTTCCTTGCTTGTGTAGTTTGATGAGTTGCTTATTATATGAGTATGTAGGTATTGTACATTAAAGATTTTTATTAGGTTTATATTTTTTAAAAGTCACAAGTGGTGTTGTTATATATCTTACATTCTTACTGAAATGTCCAGAATGTTTGCAAAATTATCTAGAACAAAAAATGATACCACAGCTTTGCTGAGGCTTAGGTAAGGTAAGAATTCCACCTTATAGTTCATAGTTGTGATACTTGGTTTTTGTGTCTTATAGGGTGTCCCTCACAATGAAAGAAATGGCATGAGCAGCTTATATAAACTACAGGTATTTTTTTTCATTATTCTTTTTTTTTTTCAATAAGCATTTAATCTTGGCTCAACTCAACTTTTAAACTTGCTGTTGCAGGGAGGCGTGAGTGTTGCTAGTTATCCAGGTCCACCAGGACCTCCAGTAAGTATTTCACASAAATGCAATTTGAAGTAGTAAATTAAAATAGTAACAGAGGGATTGATTAATTGCATGCCGTTTTTGTGAGTGGTATTATGTTTGATTTTGTAAGTGGAAGATGGCAAAGTCATAACTCAAGATATGACTGGTATGTCGTAAATAGTGAAAGTTGTGTTATTCAAGGTTTATCAAGCAGTTTAGCTTGTTCCAGGAGACTGGTCTATTTTAAGTATTTCACTCCCGTGCTGTGCTGACTTGTAAGTCTGCAAAATTGGTACCTAATTTATTATTGGACTCTTCACTGAAAGTCTATTAAAATGTATAATATAGTCTATATAGTTAGGGATGTAATGAATTATATTTGATGCAGAAATGAGACACGGGAAATCTGCTTTCAGTCCTGTCACAGATTCACTGCAGGTAGCCACAGTGCAGAACAAGGTGTAAAACAGAGCCTGGAATGCAGAGCTGGCCTCACTCCAGGCRGCACCCCGGGCTTTGTAGCTGCCCCAGCCTGCAGCTCTGCGCCCTGCTGCTTTGCTTCTTGGGGCCAAAGATGCTCTGCACTTATTTAGGTCCTCCTCCTTGTTAGAGTCATAAGCAAGTTCTGCTATATCATCATTTTGGCAACCATTTAAGTAGATTGTAGCTATCAGTGAGTACTTTGCCCTTGCTTGATGACCAGCTTTTCGCTGCAGACTCAGCCTGATCCACAGAACTGCCTTTCTCTGTTTTGGGATATCAAGAACAAGTATTACTAAAATTTTACACAGAATAAACTGGCTGGGAGGGCTTGTTGTGCTCATGTGGAATGCAGTGCATTACCAATGTATAGTTATAATGCACTAAAACATAAAAATACCATGTTATTGGATAATGCTCTTCGGATTTTCATGGATTTCCACTTCTTATGTTTTTTGCAGGGTCCAAAAGGAGATCCTGGTGTAGTGGTACGTACATTTTGGCCCTTCTAGAGGTTCCCCAGATAATTCAGTACATGATTATAGTAACAAAGGTGGAAGATTATTCATTTTTAGAAGGTATCTTGCTTTTGCAGAATCAGTACATCTGAAAAGCCTTCTTTTTTTTTTACTGATGGGCTTGAGAAATTTGCAACTTCTGGTAATAATTCTTCAGTGATAATGCAGTGAATGACTGAACACAGCATTAATGGCTTTTGGATTCATCTCTGCTGAGCTGTCCCTTGAGATATATAAGAAAAAATAATGTGTATTGCAAGAGATAAAAGCCTTACTTGCTACAGTGCTATAGGTAATAAAGATGCAAAATGCTGCAAGACCTTTTGGCCTGTGCTCAAAATTAAAATCRAAATTGATAGAGAGACAGTGTGCTGTGTCATAATAGCAAGCAGCAAGCAGAAGTTGCTTTCACATGGTTTCACTGGGAGTGGTATGATAGATAATTAAAATGTGATCACATTGCATCCAGTGGGCAAGATGATGAAGATGATAGACATGGATGCTGCTGTGCCTTTGAGCGATGCAGGGTGACATTCAAGGATGGGTGAGTGCATGGCATTCAGCTTTCAGCTGAGTAGAGAGATTGCCCAGTAGTTTCACATTCATATTAAAGAGAATGGAACCAGAAGTTGTTAGAGCTACTTAACTTTTCTTTTTTCCCTATTATATTATGGTCTTTGCATGTGAGCTTTCTGTCAAAATTATGAGGGGAAGGACAACTAGTGGAAGAATCGTGAGCAGTTGAACAGTCCAGCACAGGGCTAGTGACCAGTAGAATACAAATACAAATCCTGTCTGTGAACACATTTCTCTTGAAGTCCTGGACAAATGGTGTTTCTGATATAGAGATTTCTGAATTTCTGATAGAGAGACTATACTGGTTGTTAGGTTACAATATACCACTACATCTCCAAGCCTTGAAAGTGGCAAAACTGTAATTCACATGTAGGATTTCTTGATGACTTCTTGATGGACATCCATAAAATTACCAAAAAGATAGTGGTAAAAACTGTCTACTGTTCTTGGTATAGCATAAAAAGTATGGTGGTATAAAAYGTCATTTTAAATTGATATATATTCATGTTTTTCTCCTTTTTTAAGGAATTATCACTTACCTGCATAACAATAATTACAGGACTATAACACTGCAAGGCAATAAGACAAGTCCTACTCCTTCCTAGTCAGTGTGTTAGAGTTGTGTCCAGTAGACTTGTTTCATACTGCAAAGACCATGATTGAGTCAAGCTGGATCCAAAGTGTCAGCTGGAAGAGCTGGAAACATAGCTCACTGATAACAGCAGTCGGAGTTGAGATATGTGGGGAGGAAAATTTTACCCAGTCAGGCTGTATTATTTTCCTCATTATCTTCTGATGAGTTCTTCTGTTGAACATCAAAAAAGCCTGAAAAATATAGAGATCACATTTGAAATAAAATCATATCCCTTCCAGCAGCCAAAGTACAAAACAGCTATTTCTGCTACTAAGGGAAGGAACACAGGACTACTTCGGAGAAACACCTCCAGAGCTCCTTAAGGCACTCAGGAATTCTGTCAGATAGCAAGGAGGTGACACACGACCTCTCCAGATGCAATCTGGTCTTTGAATTGTCGATCTTGGGCAAAATAAATTGGGAAATAGTAACTGCTGACCTCCAGTGGTGATTGATTTTAGTCATCATCTTGGCTGCCTGGTAGTAACATGTCAGAGCACAGCATGCACACTGTGTAAGTGTCACCAGACACTGGCCTTGTCTGAAAATATCAGGCAGAGTATTCGGAAGGTGATCATGAGTGTCTCATCCTGTTCAAGAGCTCTTGTCATCAGTCTTGAGTCTGAATCATGGAGTCATTTTTTTTGCATGTCARTGTAAAACTACTGAAAAAGCTCTCTGCTCAGTGGAAAGTCAGTCCCATTCAATTATGTATCTTCTCTTACCAATGCAGGCACGATATCTACACAAAAAGAGCTGTGGAATTAAGCATAACTAGATCACACTAGCCCTGCCCAGACCAAAGAGGCATTGGCCATGTGGGAACATGTTCAACAGTTAGACTTGTTCATGTATGATGAAGGTGCATACTCTTCACTTGGCCAACCTGTGCCAGGCCTAGGATTCTGTTCAATTCTTTGCCAGGAMAGACATGTGAACTTTGATCTATGAACCAGTGTGGTAACTGTGCTCCTTGAGGACAATTCAGGTGATGAAACCCAAAATGGAGCACTGAGCACTCATAACATCTTGTAGCAGCACCCACTTCCTGCGCAGGAAGCACCTTATCCTACATAGGTTTGGGGTGTTCAAGGTGAGATCTGCCAGAGACAAAATGAAATCCTTAAGGGAATTTGCTGTGACTTTTGGTTTTGACTGAGACTGCTGAAATACTAGAGTTATTAGAAATTGTAAAAAATAACTGTGGTAAATTGCTGTCACTTTTCTTTAAAAAAATAAAATAAAATAAAATAACCTCTTCTCTACATCCTAACCTGGTCTCTCCAGTGCAGCAATCTTCTGGTTCTTTCAAAACCTGAAAACAGAAGAAGTATTTTTACAGGGACCAAATGTGTGGGGGTCCCTTGCGGAATAAGCTTTGCTCCTCTAAGGAGGAGAGTTCTGTTCTGAAGTAAAGTTAAATAAACTGGTAGAAAGTTAATTCTCTKCACACACTCACACCCTGTGGCTCTGATGAGTGAAGGTGCTCGGAGCTGCCTGTGGGCAACAAGAGCACTGGAGGGAAAGAGGGAAGTCTTGATTACATTCAGAATTAGAACTAAAKCAGTTTGTCAGAAAATCATGCAATACCTCTGAGAATAGTTTAGTTCGTAGATCACTACAACATGACATAACAAAATATGAGCATTCAGACAACTACTTGGTGATTTTTAAATGATCTCAAACCAAATATTGTGTTGTTGCTTTCTGTTCAACATTTCTTATGTAGATGACAGAAATTCTAATCCATGCAATCCTTTCTAATTAAAAAACAAATACCAGGGAGACCCAGGACCGATGGGATTACCAGGACTAGAAGGACTCCCAGGAGAAAAGGTAGGACTCATAAAAGACAAATCATGACTTTTAATGGCAACTACCTGCAGCTGCATGCTGTCTTAAACTTATGTGGGTGTGCTTTATGAAGTTTGTGTTTCAGTGTGAAAAAATTATAATTATCTGTATTTCCTTTTTTTTTTTTTTTTTTGCCTTTAATGTTGATCTGAGTAATATACTAACTTAACATAAAGTTCTGTTTTCCAAAAATATAAAATTTTGTGGAGGAGGCCTAATAGTGTTTTTTCTTAAGTGGATGGAAGGACATGTACATTGGTCCTAAATATGGTTACAAATTCTTGTTCTCTTTTGGATATGGTCATATGCTTGCAGTCTGTCTGTCCTGTTCTAAGACTTAGATCTGAAAAGAAGTTTGTACCTGAATTAGTCCAGACCCACCACATGCAAGACTTTCATCAGAAAACACAACAAACAAAAAAGGCAGATTGATTGGAGCAGGTTGTATAAACAAGCTAAGTGTTAGTGCACTTCGACCTTCTCCCAAAGCAAAAACATCCATAACTAATTTTAGTCAGAATTCTACACTCACATAACAAATAAGCATAATCCTAGTGTCTTCCTGCCAGTCCTAAGAATATAATAGATGTTTTTAAGAGTATAATAGATGCTTTTGTTCTTCTTTGGAGCTCTTAGATATGTCTGTGTGGCGGAAGGCACTCTTTTCTGCACAAACCATAATTTTATAATGCATTGATTTAAACGCTAGAACTGGGRCAAGAAGTTGAGCTCAGAGTCAGGTTTAGCTTCCCTCATCTGGGCTGACACAGTTGAACCATCTCATTGACAAGATCAGAGATGATAGATCTATTTTGAGAAGAGATTTTTTTTAACCAGCTTTTCAGTGGTATTGCAGATCAATACATACCAGCAGCTGTCTAAGCTGCTGTAGTTTTACCACCCTGGTGAAATTGATTGATGTAAAGACTCAAGCGAGAAAGATAAAATTATGCCTATGCCTCAGCAGCTTCAGCACAAAATACATTGTATTTCCTTGAAGTGTAGATGAAGATTGGCCATATATTAAAATGTGGAACTTTTCCCTGAAATGACGATGGCACAAAGAACCTTTCCCTTCTACTGCCCAGTCTTCAGGGATGATAACTTCTAGGACATGGATGACTGGGTAGCAGGGAGACAGTAACTTCTTTAAGAGATAAATYTTTATATATGCATCTTGCTGTGATAGCAAATTACCGTATGTTAATTTTGGTCATCCTCATGACCACAGATTCAGAGGGACTTTCTATCCCTTTTCAAGTATTGCTTCAAACTGAGTAGGTTTGGCTTGGAAATTATTGCATTATGCATGGGAACTTAAACACAGTTAAATTGGTCAAGTCTACAAAGAGATCAATGGCAGAGCTAAATCTCAGTATCTAGCAGAGCCTCGTTTTATCCTCATTTTCAGTTCACTGAATAAACCTTTCTCAGGTTTAATTGGAATCTACTTCTATTCTGAGTATTACCATTTAAGTATGGATTTATCTTTCCTTTAGGGTGACCGTGGACCATCTGGCACACCAGGAGTCGCAGGAACACCGGTAGGTACCTGTGTTAAAGAAAAAAAATTATTAGGAAAAGCTGAAAAAGGTCAGGCAAGGAGCTCAAATATACCATTAATCACTATTTGTGGAATGCCAGCATTAGGCTCCTGCTTTGTAGGCAGGTATGAAAATTACATGTTTTCCCTAAAGAGATTAAAATTTTAATACTATTGAGGCTTCCTGTTACTGTTAAAATGACAGGAAGGAATGGTATGAATACATGATAAGGCTTGTTTTTAAAGCTGCATATACTCAGCTAACGAAGCATATGAGATTCTTCTCATTGTCACAATTTAATAAAGACAAATCATAAARTCATTTTCAGTATTACTGGAGATTCCCAAACCTCTCAGCATCTTTCTGTCACAAAGAAATTTTATAACCATTAGATACTGCAATCTATGAGGATCTGCATATCAAGTCAATCAAACATTTTCATGAGGGAATGATTTTGTCAGCTATTTGTAGGTGGTATTTGAAGAACTTTCTGAAAGTCATCCAGAAACTTTGTTGTAGGTGAAAGTAAATGTAGCTAATGATAAATTGAAATTATAATTTTTCATTTGTGTTCCTAGAGGAAATAAAGAATTTTTTTTCTTTGCATCATATTCACAGTTTACTAAAAAAATCTCATTCATTTTTTAGGGGGCAATATGGAGTTATTTATATGCAAATACATTTATTATTAAATTTGGACAGCTACCAATCCTTTCAGGAGCTGTTTATAAATTATAAATACGTACTTCATGAAATAAAGAGGAATGTGTATCTACGCACTCCATTTCCATTAGCCACTGATTCAGTATTATTTACTGGGAGTTCCAAAAGAGAACATTGGCTGTAAATAACTAAATTTAGTTAAGATTTCCTAAAACAAGTAGAAAGTACACTTTTAAAGGAAAAGGAGAAGTATTTTCTGGGATTTGTAGCTCATGTAAGAATATCAAAGTTTGATATTCTGAAATATACTGCATGCAGTATATTCAGTATATTGATTATGTTCAGTATAATCAATAATGCAGTAAGCAGTTAGGCTGATTATAATTGTTCATTCCCGGTGTATTTCCCACTGGATATGTTCCAAGTCTTATTCTTRTTTGGAGTGTTGCTCTCAGTTCTGGCCAGATACCAAATATTTAATGAATTCACTTCAGCACTCATACAAAGTATTCTGTTGCTTATGTCTAATTCAAATGAAATGTACTAAAATAAATTATTTTTTAACATTTTATGTTAAGTCATTTTAATTAACAAGTTATTAGATTTATAAGAGACGGTACTTTCTAATAGGCTGGGAAGAGTTTTGGAAATGTATCCTCACATGTTACTGGAAGAGAATTTGTCCTGCCTGCCTGCCATTATTTCCTAGATTCAGTAGAGAATATTACTCCATTTGGGGATATAAATATCTCATTCTAGCTTTGGCTTTTTGCTCAGTGGTATTACCAGAAAAAATTTGAACAGAGTCTGCAAGAATTGCCACAAATGACTTCTTCAGACTGAATCTTCAGTCCTGTCATTCCTGAAGTTTTGCTTATGTCCATGTGCTAGTTTCCTCACTTACAGGAGTCGGTTCAGAATCTGCTCAGAGGCATTTCTGAGGAATTCAGGTTCAAGGTTGTGAATTCTCATCTGAGACTGAATAACCTGGTCCGACTTTGTTACTGACCCTTCTTTGAGCAGGAGTTTTGACTAGATGACCTCTTGAGGTTCCTCCCAACATGAATTATCCTTTGTTCCTTTCTATAGCTCTGGTAAAATCTTCTTCAAACTGCATACAGTTAAAACAGCAGAGTGCTACACCCACCATTAATACAAGTACATCAAAGCCCAGATAGGATGTAGCTCTAAACTGGTCTATCGCCAACTACTTGATCAAGGCAGTTTATTGACTGTGGTGTGCTGAGAGAGATATAAGAGACTGCAGAAGCAGGAGTGTGATGATTAAGGAAGGCTTCAGCTAAAATCAGTAAGCTTGGTGAATGTCACATCAGGACATGTCAGAGAGACTTCATTTTTAAACATAACCAGCTAGTGTTTTAATTGGTTTAAGAGTGTTGAGAAGAAAACCCCCAAGAGGTGAACTTGACTTTGTGCAGAGCATAATGTAACACAAAGCAATCAAAGAAACAGTGTAAAAGCAGCTATAAAATGTTTGAATCCTACCTCCTTTTAGGAGCAATAAAAGCTAAAATAAACCATGAGAGCTGCCAACGTCTTTTTGCACATTTTCCAAGTTTTTCTTGATGGGCTGTCCACAGTTTTTGTTTTCAATAGTTTTTTTCTTCCATGACAGCTGTAAAGAATAACAAGATAAGCAAATTTGCTAAAAAGCAAGAAGGCATCTTTCAAAAAGCTCTAGTCATATAAAGTCTCTAACTAAATGATGATAACTAGAAAGGATTGTAAACTGGCAGATGGAGCTTAAAACCACAATAACACTGGCCAAGAAAAAAAACTTGAAGAAAAATTGCAAAAGGCATCAAGTCAGTAATAAAACCTCTTTAAATATATCAAGATCAGAAACTACCTGATGATTTTACATATACACTGTACAAATACAGTGATGAACTCTAATCAGACTGTTACCATCTAGGAAGGAACCATTAATGGATTTTTTTTTTACAATTCCATAAAACATTATTCCAGTATTCAAAAATGAAGAGACAAAGTTTTTGAATTAATTTGTGCATATAATCCAGATACATAGGTATGTATGCACACATATGTGTGCACATGTAAGCTGATTCATATTTTTTAAAATATAATATAATATTTTTTCTGTCTCAAAGCATTTCTTAAGCAAAAATATGAGTTTTTCAATTAAGCACATATCCTGTATTATTTTTCTGCTAAGAGAAATTAATATTTTGTTTTCTAGTAATCTTGGATTTTTAATATTTTCTTTTTGCAGGGAAAGCCAGGATCTCCAGGGTCCCCAGGAATGCCAGGTGAACCTGTAAGAGCAAATTGAGTTCTAAACTATCATGATAGTACACAAATATTTCAAACACTGAATGCAAGACTTACAGATGCAGATTTCCATGTGTGTGTGTTCTTCCTTTTAAGGGTGAAAGAGGACCTATAGGAGATATAGGATTCCCTGGGCCAGAAGGGCCGCAAGGAAAACCGGTAAGCAGTTGTATATCAAATATACATTTATTGCAAAAATAGGCATCTTCATTTGCAATAAGTTACAAAAGAAATGAAATTGCATTCTGCTTTTTGTTAAGCAAGGTTTCATCCTAAGAATATCTACAGTTATACTGTTCATACCAGTCATACTATCGGGGTTCTCTTTATATGGGGGCCCTATATTTTGATGTTTTAATATTTAATGTTCCTGAGAACCTTCGAAGAACCTTTGGGTCCTGCTGACATGAAGGAACCTGTAGCACCTTTTTTTTTTTTTTTTTTTTTTTTGAAGGAGAATGTTAACCCAGACACTCAACACAGTTTATAAAGGATGGGGTAACAGAATGTATTCCCAGTTTCAGTTTAGATAGAGAATTGGTTGCTTCGTCGTGCCCTCATTAACTCCTCTCTGCGCAGGTAATGCAACGCCAGCCATGGCTGAAACATTTACTGTTTTCTTAGGATATGTCTAAATTGACCTCTTCATTTGAAGTCCAGCTCTGCTCTCTCGCTGCAGACACTTGCTGCAGTGTATTGTACCAGCTGAGCTGGTATAAAAACAACACAGTTTATATTGCAGCAACATTTCAGTTTCGGTAGCACAGAATTAATTAATTCCTCCTACACCTGCTGCTACAGTGACAAGCACAAGTAGCCCATTTAAGTTTGTGACCATGTCTGCCTGCCTTATGCTTCTTGAGATTCTTGAAATAAGAAGAAAATGTCAGTAGCTTCTGCACCAAATTGGCCCAATTTAGGAAATAATTGCAAAATCCCTATCACTAATAAAATTTTAAAACTGCAGTACCTGCTTGCATGTGTGGTGTCAGGAGGTGATGGGGTGGACACTCTGAGACAATTTCCAGTTTAGGGGAGAATGTGGATTTGGGACTGTTCTGAATAGGTGGTGCAAATGAGACCACCCTTTTGGGTGCAAAGAATAACAAGATAAGCAAATTTGCTAAGAAGCAAGAAGGCATTTCTCAAAAAGCAAGAATATTTAGCCAAGTAGGTTGCAGCTGAACTATGTGACAGGTCCTAAAAAAGAAAGAGTAGGTCTAGCCCACTTGTTACTTGTGTCTGTAACAGCAAGTGTTTTGAATGAATATGTCTGAATTTCTCTTAAAACACTGAGATTATCTTCAGGTTACATAGGACAAATTTTACTTTCAGTTATGTTCCTGTGCAAAAAAAATAAAAAAGACRAAAAAAAAACAGAACAAAAATCAATTTAGGGCTACTATCTAGAACAAGAGGAATCTCTTCCGTGATTATGCAGYGATGAGATAGGACTAGAAAAGTGCACATGCAGTTCCATGATTTGCATAATTTCCATATAACTTGTCATTTAAAATTGCATGCTCGTTGAAGTTGATGCACATCATGTTGCCAAAGATATGTAGTTAAACTTCAGCATGCATGCAGTTCAGTAGGGCTCCAAGTTCTTTTCTTTCAYATACTTCAAGAGTATTTGTGAGTGTTTTAACGTAGTCAAGACACCAGCTGCTGCCTCCTCAACTTCAGGATGTGTATTCATAACATCACTGAACATTTACTTTTATATTTTTAAAAAATGCATTCGACCCATAATTATAATATGTTCTGGGTTTTTTTTGTTTTTTTTTTTAATAGGGAATCAATGGAAAAGATGGATTGCCAGGTCCTCCGGTAAGAAAGCATACTTTTTGAATACATTTTACTCTTCACAGATACTATAACTGTCAACCCTAGCAGTTGCTGTCAGTTCTACTACTAAATGAATATACAACACAGCTTTTAGAAATGTGCTTAACTTCTTCATTCAAAATCAAATTTTCAGGGTGCTGTGGGGAGACCAGGAGACAGAGGGCCCAAAGGAGAACGTGTAAGTTGCCTGTTTTATTATTCCTTTCCTTTTTCTGAGCATCTAAGAGATTCTGAGCATCTGATTTTGTTTGCAAAGCTAGCAAGGTAATTTTCTGTGAACTTTAGGCATTTTAGAGACTCCGTCCCAGAGACTGCTTTGATTTAAGGAATTAGATTTTAATTGACTTCTGCATTTACATAAAAAAAGAAACATATTTGTAGATTTTCTAACACTATTGGTTTGGGCAATGTAAGTTGATCAATAGGATGAGAAGTAGCAGGTAACTAATTCCACAGTGATGCAGACAGTCACTGAAGGAGCACTGAGGCTTTCCCTATTTCCCCTAACAACCCTAAGAACTTGGCATCACAAACATATAGTCCTGGTTTATCTAAAACCAACTTGTTACACTTGTCACCTCTGTGCATAATGTGTGAAGGAAATGCAGTGTTAGACACTTGTAAGACACGAGGTTTTAGTCATTATTACAATAATTGTCACTTACAGAATTCAACATTTTGCAGTGTTCTGTTCCTGCCCTTAGGACCACAAATAAGGTTTAAGAACCTTCTCATTGCCCAGCCCACTGTGTCCTGCCGTACCTTGCTCACTCTTGACCTTATCAGTTGTCCTGCAACTAAAACCACAGGCATGCCACCAGAGAAAGAGGCTGAGCCCATAAATATATGCAATATCGAAACATACACTGACTCCAACTAATGCCACATCTTTAAGAGACTTGGCCAAGTTTTGGCAACACTGTTTGTAACTGGCCAGAAGGCAAGCAGAGTGACTGCACAACAGCAGAGAATTTAGCAAGTACCTTTGAATGATGCCTTACATTAATGACTGGGTCCATCCTTTGTAGTGAGGAAAAGACATTGAAAAGGAAAGACGTTGAGGCACCCATGGCCTTAGCTCTCTTCATCAGAGTGAAACTTGGGAAGGTCCAGGGAAAAAGGAAGAGGGTCTACCCATTCCAATCTCATCAGTGAAAGAACTCATGTCTATACATAMAAATCTATATGTGTATGTATGTCCACACAAACTTGTGTGTGGCTAATTGGCCACAGTCTAGCCTTCTCTGTGCAAAATAGCACAGCTCTATGTTAAAAATTTGGTTCAGTTTCCAGAAATACTYTTGGCTCAAGTGGTAATCAGAATCTCACACAGCCTTATAAAACAGTAAAGTTATAAATAAGCCCAATGCAGTAACTGAACACAGATTTAAGAAAGGTGCAAGTTCTTCCTTATAATTCCAGACGGCAGGATAGCTCCTTCTTCACAGAATTTACCTTTTTAGTGCAAAATTAAATACAATTAATGAGAGAACACCAGAAAAAAAGACTCTACAATTCAGCACAGTCAACAGAGATCTTGGAATCCAAATGTCCTGTCATTTTTTTTGTACATCATGGCAAAGAAATAACTCAAAGTGAAATTTAGAGGAAGATAGTGACCCAGTTTTATGAATTATTACAAGGAGCTTCTTCCAAAGACAAGGGAAACACTGGGGGCGATTCAAAAATGCTTTTATGAAAAGTGACTGTATTTGATCTGCCTCCTATGCATTGGCAGCCTGAGAAATGAGAATATTTTAGAAGAAAAACAAATTGAGAATTGGCTTCACACTGCCATGTTTTTTCCTGTAAATCTTAAATTTATAGAAACCTTTTTGATCKTTTTGATCTGTCTCTTCCATCAGAATATTCCTTTTCCAGTTCCTTCCATGTGGACACATTCTCTTTCCTTCTCCTATCTATTGAAAATCTGAGAAACTGAAACAAGAATTGCATACATCCTTTGAGTATCTTCTCTTTTTCTACTTAATAACTAAAGCAGCTTTGTTTCTGCAGGCAATCATTCATATTTACAGTTCTGCCCAGCTGTAAATATTCATGTCTGGAAAATAAAACTGGAAATCAGGTGTATGCAATATTGCAGAATTGCTCTTTTAAAAGAAACATAAAATAATTCATCTTGCAAATATGCAATCACAAAGAGATTGTTTACCTGATTTCTCCAGATAAAGAGATTTCAGATTTTTACAGAGTTTTGTTTTGTTTTATTTTAGTCCTCTTGGGAGGGTTTCCAGAGTTCAGTCCCTCTCCTCTCTTGCTGAGAGCACTTTAAACTCCAKTCAGGAATGAACTGTGATTTTAGTTAATCCAATAAAACATCAAACCTCACAGCGGTCTTTGTAGTGAAGCTTAATTATAGCCAATAATAAGCTCTAACCCACTAGAAATCAAAGAGATTTGGAGGACAAATGAGTGATAAAATTGTGTGCAACCTCCTACATGCATCCTTATGTTCTTCTCTGTCTCATTTAATCTTTATGTATCATATAAATATCATTTTAGAATATAGCTACAGTTTTACAGTTTTATTTGTTAATAGGGTTTCAAATSTGAGTACAGTTTACCAGTACTTGTCATATAATTGAATGCAATTCAATTTATTTACCTCTCATTGGTGTAGGCTGAGGATTACTCTGGTAAAGATGTAATCAATTCTTGATGCTGTTCGCTCCTTGTGGTGGAATTTAAGATTAGCTTAAGTCATGCATCAAGGACAGTCAGTGATCCTTAAGAACCAGCAACTCATCATTAGCAGTCTGAATGCAAGATTTGCTCCACAGCTATAGTTCAGCAAACTAATAGCTTAATGAATGAAGTATTTCTCACAGATAAAACAAATCAAGTCATATCTCAGCCCATGTTGGCAGCTGCTTCTGGCCGTAACACTGACCTTTACTTTATTTGGTTTGCAAGGAATTCACTCACTGMAAATGGGTTTGCATATCTGCTGGGTTTTATTTTTCTCGTTTTTTTGTTTGGTTTTTGTTTGGTTGGTTTTTGTTTGGTTTGGGTTTTTTCCTCATGAGCTGAGGCAAAATGCAGAAGTACATATTTCACCATTTTTGTTCTGAAGGTCAAAATACCTTTTCAAATATTCTGCTGTGTTTTTCTCTTACTCGTACCTGTTACACTCATTCTTTATTTTTTTGCATGATTTTTCTTGGAAGTTGTATTTTTGTACACTCTTTGATTGCCTTATCAACTACATTCTAACTGAAAAATGTACACTTTTTTTTTCTCTTTCTGTTTTCTAGCGGAGTGACAAAAATGTAGCCTACAGTATAATGTAGGCAGATAAAACCTACAGTTTTATCTAGTTTTCTGCAGTCATTATATAAGAACATAGAGAATACTAGGCAGATTGCTAAGGAAGCACCCCTTTGGGCTCTGCAGGTTCCTGTTTATCAAACTGCAACTTTTCATTGAAACTTCTTTTCCATTGCTCTATCATTTCATTTTTTCTTTCACTGTTTTTATCTGCATTGTGTCTTTCTGCCCATGGGTTTTAACCCACTCAGCCTTCTCGTTTTATGCCCCACTGTAAGATTTTTGCAACCTTTGTGAGACCAAATTTGGATAAAGTATCAGACTATCGTTTTAAGACATGGACAATCTAAACTCAACTCTTTTTACTGTGTAACGTTGGGTTGGATCCAGAGAAGAGTTGTACATGGTTCCTGGAAAGGACTCCACACCTCTGCCAGCTAAGCACCCTGGGTCACACATGCCCTTTCTCTCATCTTACAAATTTGAAGTGGTTTTACTTTGAGGTTACTGCTCTCTACAGCTGCTTGTTGGTCAAACCTGTCTCTTGAAATGAGTGAAATGAGTTTGGATGATTTTAGATTGAAGGAGGAACAGAATTTTATCCTATATCTTTGATCCTAAGAGACTGGTCTGACCACTGGGACACCATATGAGCAGTGAGAAGCATCTCTCTTACTTGTTGAGTGAGAATGGACAAACTGACAAGTTTGTTTTTTTTTTTTTTTTTTTGTAGTAGTACTTTTTTTCATCACATATAACAAATGGCAATTTTAAGAATGAATAGAGAAGAATCTACCTGAAAGTAACAATTGAGATGAGCATGAAGCTGTCAAGTGTTTGAAGGCATTAGTGTGTGCGGAAACAAAATATTAGGCAACTAGGGAATTTATTTTTATATATATTAAAAAAATACCTAATGTGTGGAGGAATTTGAGCAGCTAAATTCTACCCATCTTGTCTTTGACATTTCTAGGTCATTTTTATTGATCTTGGCTATTAACTTTGTGCACCCCAATTCTATACTTGAAAGGTAGTTTATCGAGGTTTTTTTTTTTTTTTTTTTTTTTACTGAGTTCAACATTAGAAGTGCAAGAAAACAGAATATTATCCACTGTTTTTTCAAAGATAGGATTAGCTTGTAAAATCAGCTTCATAGCATAAGTTATTTGCCTAAGAAATGCCTGTTTCTAATCAGGGAAGAAGTTTCTCTGACATTCTTGGGTGATGTTTCATTCTTGGTTTGTTCTACTGTACATAGTGGTTTTGTTTATGCTTTTGATTTGCACAGGGAGATCAGGGTATTCCAGGAGACAGAGGCCCACAAGGTGAAAGAGGAAAACCTGGCCCATCAGGCGAAAAGGGGGCTATGGGTCCCATTGGGCCACCAGGAGACAGAGGCCATCCCGGTTCACCAGGTCATCAAGGTCCTCCAGGTTCACCAGGACCCCCAGGTTTTCTGGTAAGAAAGTGAAGATTCTGAGTTACTGCTTGTGAAGCCAGTAATCATGAAGGTAGCATATACTGAGCAGTGAAAACTCCACCAAACAATGAAACAGTCTCATAAAAACTAAAATTTCTCTTCAGAGGTCAGAAGTGGAAAAATTCTACACAGATSAAGTACTTTTAGATTTTGCTTTTCACTATGTGAGTGCTACTTTCAGAGCAGATGTTAGGTAATGCTTAACTTATTTAGTTCCTTACAAATCAGCAGATGGCTATTCAATGCAATTAATTTTGCAATTTTTTCATAACTTAATAGCTAAATTTTAAGTGTTTGCAAATGAGAAAGAAATACAGGGAAGCGAAAATGTTCCTCAATAAAAGAGAAATTACCACTCTACCTGTTATAGTATATACCTTCATTTGTCTCCACAGTCATGCACACACACGTGTGTGTGTGTTGTGGTCTTTATTTTTTAATTAGTGAGATACCATCAATCATATAGGGTAAAGATCTAAAAAGTTTTTCGAGTGTTAGTTGGTACATTGCTACAGTATTATTTACTTTTGCTTGAGTCAAAGCWGTTATTCCCTTATGAAAGTGAGAAGCTGATGAACATGACATAGAGKGCAAGTAAATCACAGTGGTATAGCTGGACATCCTTTCTTAGTCTTATGAACAAGCAGTATTAGCAATTTCTAAGCATATAATATATGCTGATCACTCTGACAGTTGAAAGGGCTTCTTCTACTGTATGGTAGTCAAGACCGTCCTAATATTCTAATAAATTTGGAATAAAATGGCCTTTTCAGTTAAGTGAATAAAACAAATATTTTAGAATATATTATTTTTGGTGAACGTTTTAGATGCTTAGTGCTAATTTTATGATGTTCGGATTATAAAARTGCACTGAGTATTTTTTTTCCTTCCTGGTAAATAGCTAACATATAACACTTTTTGGTTTCCCCATCAGGCTGATGCAGTTTCATCTGAAGAAATAAAAAAATATATCAAACAGGAGGTTCTTAAGGTTTTTGAAGGTAAGAAAATTTTACAACTGAATCTAAATCTTAAGTGGTTCTAAATGTTTTCATTTCCCTATAGCCTTTGTATACGTTTCTAACTTTTTTTATTCTGTTTGCATAGTACTTGAACAGCTGCCTTGTTGCTGAACTTATCAGTTAATTGCTGATGTTTAGAACTATTTAATATAATTCAAACAAGTAATTGTTATTATAAATTGCAAAAAAAAAAATAAAATATCTGTTAACCAGAGTATTTCCTTCTGAAAAAGATTAGCATTAAAAGATAATTTGCTTCAAATGATATCAAACATGGATATTTATCATTGTAGATACATATTCATGTATATTATTTGGAATAAGAATTAAAATGGGTAAACTGAGCTAAAATGCAAAGCAGCTGATTGCTCAGATATAAATTGGTATACGCAACTGCCCTGTTTTCAGTTTTAGTTCCAGCAAGTTTAGATCTTTACATATCCTTTGCTTTCACTAATAAGTTCACATATAAATCACACCTTCTATTAAGCTAAACTAGCTTCTCTTTCAGTTTTTAATTAAAAGCAACTTTACAATCAGAAATGTCTTTTATTCTTAGTACTTTTTTTCCCCTTGATGAGTAAAACAACTGCCTTCAAAGCATTCCATGATTGCTAGCCCTGTCCTTCTAAATGGCTCTGTGTGGGGAGGTCTATTTTCAAATGACTCTGCATGGTGGTGGACAGGGTGGACAGTGTTGAAGCTCAACAAGCGCTGCCCTTACTGCAAAAGAGGTCACCTGAACCTGAGCTACATTAGGAGGAGCGTGGCCCACCCATTAAGGCAAGCTGTAATACCTCTCTGCTCAGCACTGGTGAGGCCACATGTGGAATACTGTGTCCACCTTTGGGCCCTCGATTCAGGAGGAATGAGGAGAAACTTGAGAGGATGTAGCAAAGGACCTCCAAGGGGCTCCAGGGTCTRGAGCACATGACCTAGAAGGAAAGGGTAAGAGCTGGGCTTGCTTAGGAAGCTAAACTAAGCTAAGACGGAGCTAAAGGGTGGTCTGGTCCACACTGCTTGAAGGGTAGTTATAAAGACAGCAGAGCTGAACTCATTTTTCAGTGTCATGGGATATAACAAAGGGTAATGCCCACAAATTACAGCTTGGGTGGGTCAGGCTGCACTTTTGCAAAAACTTTTCCTAATCAAAAATCAGGAAAAAAATAAGAGATTAGTGAAACGTTGGAACAGATTACCCAGAAAGGTTGGGAATTTTCAGGATTTGGCCRGACAAATCATCCATATGACCCCAGGTCATATGAGGTCATCCATATGGGGTTTATGGTAGTTCCAGCTCATGCAGGAAACTGCACCCACTCGGCTCCAGAGATCTCTTCCCCCCAGCATTGCTGTGATTCTGTTCTGCATGGCAGCTTTTTTCYATGTACTTAGATTCATATGTGTTAGGTTTGCTCCTCTTGAACAAATCATATATTCTCCTGCTTGATGACAGTATAATAGAGGTTAGCATTGAAAGGGAAGTCACTCTGAATGAGTTGTAAGGACAATGTAGGTATCCTTGTTGAATCCCTTACATTCATTAAATTACTAAGTTGTTTCAAATAAATTATCTAATAAACAGCTGCTTTTAGATTTCAGTTTACTTTAGATTTTCAATTTTTCAACAGTTGCTTTCCTCTCAGAAGAAGGAAAATTGGGAACCATTAAGACACCGCAAACTTACTAAAATGGACATAGTAGAAACATCTAATTATTTTGGCCACTTAGCAGATTTATATGAAAGAAAGAGTTGACAGCTCTCATTTATGTAGGTGTAAGCTGCCRTGTGTTTTCAACAAATAGCTGTATTGATTAGGTATGGAAAGGAAATACACAACTGGCATGAACACAACATCAGCAAAATACTCTTACTCAGAGCTAATTTACTGTGTAGGAAGGACTTGTCATCAATACAATCGATTTCTCTGACTTTACTGGCCAAGCCTGTGTTTCCAACACACTTATGTCCTTTTTTGATTCTCTCTTTCATTAATGAAGAGAGGATGGCTCAGTTTGTATCCCAGCTGAAGCTGCCTGCAGCACTGCTTGCTTCCCAAGCTCATGGAAAACCCGGGCCACCAGGAAAAGATGGTTTACCAGGACCTCCAGGAAAAGATGGTTTACCAGGAACACCAGGAGAACGTGGACTTCAAGGTAGGAATTCAAAAAATATGCTTTTAAGGATTGTATCTTGAAATTTATATACTTGCTAATGATCATTAAATGAGACAGGACTACATATCTAGCTTCCTAATGATTAACTTTTTAAAACTATACTTATATTTTTTTCCAGACTAGAGCTATGTATTAACCCGTAGTAAATGTGTGGATTTTATTGCTTAAAAAATCCTAATCAGTGCATTTTATTCTAATAAATGATAAAATACTGACAGATATCTAAAGCTGACAGATATCTAAACCTGCTGTAGCAATTTTTTTTTCCTCTAAAATACTATAACAAGGAAGAAAAGCTATGCCAGCACTTTAATGTAGCTCTTTACATCCTGATTCACATTAAAAAGGACCATCTTATCTAAGAACCAACTTTTGATCTCCAAGGCTGAGCATTTTCAGCTCTGACCCTAAGTATTGAGGAGGAAAGATTAAAGGCAAATATTGCTCTTTAGAAGCAGTGAGAACTGAAATACTACAGCCTGAATCCTTCTTAGAGTGAAATAATCTATTTTCACAAATCCACTTCAGAATAATCTGCTTTTCACTGTATCCCAAACTGTAATTTGTACACTGCAGTGCATTCGGGCAGTGCAGGACGCTTGTGCCACTGAACTGTCCTTTATTGCAAAATCAGTTTCAAGGAATCCAAGGTCATTATAGCTGTGTTCTCCTGTAGATTAAGACTGTGCAAGGAAGGGGAGAGCAGAATGAAGGAAAAAGAATTTATAGAATAATAATATTTTGTGGGTAATATGTAATTTGCAGTTTATCTGTAGGTAGTTCTTAATTATTATCTTTTGTTAGTTTGGTCTGCTCTGGAGTCAGAGCAAGTCAGACTGGAATGAAGAACATGAAAGCAAAACTGAAGATGTGTGGATCCTAAAGCTATCAGAAGAAAAAAAGACTTATTAACATTGATAAGAGCAAACCCTTGACAGAAGCTTGAAAAATGTGATGAGCTCAGAATAAGAAGAACAAACAACAATAAAGGATCAAGGAAAACAGTAAAAGACTTAAGAGTCTTACAACACTGACTTCTTCATTATCTAAGTACTCAGATCACTGTAAACAGTTACCTTTAATGTCAGTGCCAGGTTGTTCAATGATTATGTATGTGGTGGATAGTCTCAGCTTCTGGGAAGTAGCACATTGTACTAGGCTTCATTTCCAGCTAGTGGGCATCAAGAGTGAAGATGATAGCTATGCTTGAAAASAAATAAAGCTGCTTTTTCATGCCTTATGCTTAAGTAAAAGTAGTGCCCCATGTACACAGGATTTTCCATGTATTTTACCAGTATGCTCAATGCTGTTTTGGGGTTAGTAAGAGTTAAGCTAAGTGAGAAGCATTTACTTCTCTGATATATCAAAAGACACATAAAGTTATACTGCAAAAGAAAGAAAGCCAAAATTTTGTCTTGCCTCCTTATTACACTATGTGTAACCGATGTTACCCTGAGAGAAGCGCAGTTACAGTTGGTGCCTTTCCCTGCTGTGCCTGTCCATGTTCTTGTTTTGTGCCAACAGCAAAATGAAATCCCTGTCTCCGAGCAGATTGAGAAGTATCCATGCATATTTCAGTTTATTCTCAGGCATATGAGATGTGGCAGGGAGGAGGCTCTGGAGAAGCATGTTCTCATCYGTGTGTGCATCTGAGGGCAGCAGGGCAGCATGCCATCTGCACGTAGGCCTGGCTCAGCAAGGGAGCATGGTGTGTTCCTGTACTTGGCGGGTATGCCAAAGGGATAATATGCATCAGACAGGGCTTTTCTTGCTAAAAGAAAATGGCACAGGTAGTGGAGGAATRTGAAGTAAGCAAGTACTGACTGACAGTTACTCATCTGAGTAATTCTCACTTGGTTGCAGCCTAGATTACCTGTCCCAGGTATTTAATAGGGTACTGCCGTGTGCAGTAATATGCACCTGTGAATCAGTGTCTGTTTTAGTCACTTGCAGCTCCCAAACAGTCAGGAAAAAACTTTTGAGGAGTAAATAACAGGACCTGTAAAGACACAGGTCAGTCAGGTAGCCACTCCTGCCTGCTGAGCAGGACTTTGTTTAAGGAATTCTTCAACTACTGCGAGTAGAGTTATCATTTCTAATGAATTCCAGAATTGCTGCCTGCTGTCTTTGAGTAAGGCTGATCACAGTACGGTGCAGGTAGTTCCCAGTGCTTTAAGTAAAAATAATTTTGATTTTGATTATCTCAGAAAAAAAAAAAAATAGTTGCAACATGAATGGTAAAATATGCATTTGAGAATTAAACAGACTTTGCATAAGAATAATAGAAATATGTATGTATATATTTCCTCACTGAAAGAAGACCCTATAAGCTAGTGGAAGCTGATTCTGTGGGGCAAAGTTTTCCCTGAGAGGTAAAACATCCATTTAAGGAAGAGTAGAGGAACTTTTTTACTATGCATCTATGTTTTGAAGGATGCTAATGTCTTGTAGACAAAAAAAAAAAATTATTTCAGCATTTTATTGACAAGTTTTACCAATGTCATCCATTTTGCAGACAGCCAGTCAGATTCTGTCATGTGTTAGAGAAATTAGCTCAATTTGATTTGATTAGATTTTTAAATATATAATAGTTTTTATCCATTAGTTCAAATTCACGTTCTTGGGTAATTTTGGAATTGAGAGATGCATATTATCTTTTGCATTAATATGACCTTTGTTTTTTGTCATAAAAATAAGAAGGGTTCATACTAGTTAAACTTCACTGTTATATAAAGGAAACATCAAGAGATTTTGATCACTCCTCATGACTCATGGTAGACCCAAGGAAAYAAACTTCCCAGCTCAGGAAAGAAAAATACTATGTGATGAGATGAATAGTGAAAATTCCATATCTTTATTGCTGTTGTATCTCCTACTAAATTATGTCATGGGAGTAGAGGCGATGGTTGACATGGAGCATCCTGTTTTAGTGGATGCTGTCCAGACGTAGTCACTTTTTATTTGTGGAATAGCTGCAGAGTTTTAAAGCTTTACCTCCCCTAAGGTGTCCCACTCTTGTGGCAGTGAACTCAGCTTGTTTTCAGTCTGCTTTGAAAGCCAGTTACTGCCTGGCAGTGGAGAGGGCAGTGGCGCAAGTTCAGAAGGTGCCCTGGAAGCTGGGTGTGAAGGACTTGCTCTGRGCACCGTTGCTGTCGCTTTGCGGTGTTGTGTTTTTAAGAATGCAGCAGTATGCACAACTGTTTGCACACTAAGACACAGTGGATACTTTGGAGTTGTTGTTCTCTGTTGTGTTCGTGTGTTTGCCTCTCATTTCTGCTAAAAGAAGCTCTTTTTTTCCCAAACACTGCCATGCCTGTTTCAGCTGCAGTGTTCTCCATGCAGCTGGAAGAGGGTCTCAGGGATATAGATCAAGTTCCTTTTGGAGCTGTTTAAAGGAGATAACTCTTTCTATCCCTCCAGAGCTTACAGACATGAAATTGTGTCATTTCCAAGTTAAGCTCAGGCAATACTGATGCTTCTGACAGACTGTAATATTTGTGGTCCTGGTAGATAGCAGCAAACTCTAAGCTACATTTTAGCTGTCACCAGTCCGTGAACATAAGAAGGGTGCTTATCTGTTCAAGTGCATGCTTGCTACATACTACTACCAAATGTTTACCGTACTGCCCACATTGGGTACATGTTTACATACAGCAACTTTTGGGATGCAGGAATGACGAGCAAACCTCTGGAACCCAAGTTGCAAGGCTTTGCTAGAGCAGTTGCCTTTGGGAACCTTTTAAACCTCTTACTCGGGTCATTACCAATAGAAATGTAAAACATCTGCCTTTGTGTAAAAACCGATATATCAAGACCTTATTCAGATATATGATAATACTTTCCTTTGACTGCATATGAAGTTGTCACTTTCAGCTCAGATAGAAGGTAACAGACTTCCTCTAGAATCATGGGACCTGCTTCTGAGCAAAATATACCTCATTGAAAATCAAATATTTTACTGCCAGAATCACATATTGCGTTGTTTAGATTGTTTACTTATAAGCCTGTTTACTTAAATGCTTATACTCTATTAAATAAAGCCTTAGTTTTTGAAAAAGATACCTGGGAAATCTTATATGAAACTTCAGTGTCAACAAAACTTTCTCGGCCACTCTGTACAAACTACACCTTTGTATATGTATTCTGATGGAGCTGGTAATTGCTTACTCAGTCCTTGTTCAAACATTTGCATAGGCAGCCTGCTGTTTGTACTATTGCCTTTTTCTTTTTTTTTTTTTTTTTTTTTTTGGTCTTTAATGTCTTAAATTCAAGTGATGTTTACAGAATCTTTCAGTCTATCTTGGTCCATTTTCAACTGTGTTATGTTAGCTCTCTTCAGTAATGCTATGATGGAGATTGTAAATGTGATATATCATAAATGTGATTTCTCTCTTTTTCCCATAACTAAAGAAATGCAAAAAAATAAATAAATTAGTGGCAGCACTACTTTGCAAAATTATGATTAACTGGGTTTGTAGTGAGAAATGTATTGTAACTGCATATTGTAAATGAAGAAACAGAGATATGTAATAAATAGGAAATGTAATAGACTGTGGTTGTGTGATTGAGCTTCTCAAACAGTGACAAATACTATGGATTATACAAGATTTTTGGATCCAGACAGCTTTGATTGATATAGTTGTAAATATTACCATGGCCATTGAAGAGAAACTAAACTCACAGTGAACTCCAACACCTTCATATTCCCTTTGTGTGCTTGTGCGCCTTGCACAAATCTGTTTACTGCAACTTGGTGAACCTGAATGCACGACCTTTTAAACAGTTCATTTTCTTTGCCTGTGTCACCCTGCATGTCACCCTGCATGTCTTGTCTCCTGCTTTGCCTGTATGACTTCCACTGTCATTTCTTACTTGGGGTGTTGGGGGAAGAGAACACAATAACTGGTCCTCGACTTTGAAATCCAGGACGACCAGTGTTCAAATTCTACTGAAATGTGTAATAAGCTTGTGTTTTACAGAAAGTCTGAATATCTTGGGTATCATTCTGTTGCGTTTTGTCTCTTGCAACCACAAACTGGTGCCCATAGGGCTTATAACAATTTCTTCCTTGACTGCCTGGCAAGGGCTGATGTTGCCATGAGCTGATGTACGCTGGCAAGACAACCTTTGCTGGTCATCTGACAGTGCCCTTTCTTCCTCATGAGACATAAGTTGCATGTTTAGCAGTGTGCTGACCGATCACCTGGGTCGCTTTACTCTTAAATTAATCAAAGCTTTCTCCCAAAAGAAAGCTTCTTGCATGGCATACCCAGTACTGCCATACACTGCTGCCTGGAGCAAAACAAATTCAACCACAAATGCTCTTAGAAGCTGGCAAAATTGATCACCAGCATATGTCACCTTACACATCAATAGCTGAGGTGTTAGGGAAGGGAGATGGGAGGGTTTTCCAAYAACCCTTTTAAAATAAGGAGTTAAGGCAGATGTCACACTTGTTCCTTTCAAAATGCCTCAAAATCCTTTCATTCTCTCTCCTATGTAAATAATTTTTAAGTTCTTTAAGTAAAAAAAACCTATATAGATTTCTAACCWGAAATAGTAATATCCTGATACTCATGAATTCTCTACTCTCAGGCATCCCAAATGTTTCCAACTAATAAAGACATAGCCAGAGTTTAAGAAAAAGGAATCGCATAGTTTGGATGTGAGCTGGAGCACCTAAGAGGGTGGAAGCTGATTTTCCTTTATACAGAGCTATGAYCTGTGATTTGAAAATTTTATATTTGAATGTCACAAACATTCAAAATATATTTTGATATTCAAAATACAAGTAGCAATCACATCATATGGGCATTATCTCGGTACTTGGGCCAAAGTGGGCTTTGCATGCAGAACTTGTAGCCTGCATGAGCTCTACTCAGAGTAAGGGCAGCTGTGTCAGCTGGAGAGAGCATCGGTCTGATTTATAGTGAAAKAGGTGGAATATCTAAGTATAAACTTCCAGCCCAGGAAGTTTAAAATCTAAAAGGTGCGTGCATAAAGATTTGCATGTAGTAGCAAGGGCGAAGTCTTCCTCTTTTTTGGGGCTATGTCCCTGAGAAAGACTGAGAGCCATGGAGTTATGTTTCTGTGACTATGACCAGTGACATGTATGGACAGATGCCAAAGAGCCTTGGGATTAGAGCTTTATATAAGTCCCCCAAACAGGTGAATACACCCTAAATTATTAATTAGGAAGGTAACTTAAAATCTTTGGGAAAAGTAAGGCTAGTAAATCTAGCAAGAGCCCTTTGCCAGAGGATGCAGCAGTAACTGCTAGAAATCCTCATATTTCCCAGAGGAACATACAAACATAATATTACCGGCTGTATTACTAGTCTCAGAAAGAAAAAGGAAAAGAAGTGGGCATCTGTTTTCCTGTTTGGGTTTGTTAATAAGATTACTGTTTAGATTACTGTTTATCATAAGAGGACACTCTTATTTTCCCATCTTTGTTCTGTGTAGGTTACAGAGGACAGAAAGGGGAAAGAGGCGAGCCTGGAATTGGACTGCCTGGTAACCCTGGACCACCTGGCCCTTCAGGTACAAGTCTCCAGATTTCTTTACGTTATCCTGAACTAACGTTCCTGAACTAACACAAACACTCTGCTGTGCTCATCCTCACGCCAGCTTTGCCTCAGTGTGTTTCCTGGCGGTTTTGCTGTCGCATGAGGCCGGATATCCCGGCCTGCTTGCAGCCTCGCTGGTATGCAGGGGTGCAATGCAGGACGAGGTGTGCGCTCCCGTCCCAGCTCCACTAACTCCTGCGTTTGTTTTACCAGCGACCGGCCTGCCTGGCCCCCCAGGAGCTCCCGGCTCGCCCGGACCRCAAGGGCCGCCCGGACCCCACGGAAGATGCAACCCAGCAGATTGCTATTACCAYGTAGCACAGACTCGGTCACGCACCAGTGGGAAATAAAAACCCTCTCCCGGAGACGCTTGGGTTCACAGCCACTTTTCACTTCTCTTAATAATTTAACTTAATCTTCGGAATACTTGGTGCATATTTTTCCCCCAGACACTGCGGAGTATCCAGATAATTTATAAGGCACAGAACTGAGCCTTTTGTGTGCTACTTGCAGTGTCGTAATTATGAAATGATGCCTTTTATTTTCCAGAGTGCATTCCATGTGTTGTGTTATTTCTCATATTTATTTTGCTTAGAGGAGAAAATAGGCCCAAATAATTTTCGTCGGCTTCTTTCTTCAAACAGAAAATATTTTATTATAATTTATGACAGTCTGTATGCCTCAGTACGTAAGCTGGATCTATTTTTCTTGCTACTGGTGAAGCTTAAATGAATAAAATGCAGTTGTGAGGTTTTTTGAAGCGTACCCACTAGCAGCGCATGTTGGCTCGTGGCCGGAGTGCTGGGAACTCTGCTCAGACTGAATGTTGCTCTCCCTTGAGGATGCTCCAGCAGCCCTTTCTGGAGGGGTCTGTCCCACAGCATGAACACTTCCCATCCTTTCAGTAATTTCTGAGGTGTCATCAGTAAAATGAAGGTAGACATGTGCTCTCTCTCTCCTTTCCCATGMAACATTTTGATTCGACTGGAAATTCACCATGTGCCGCCGCAGGAAGCATTTGTTTTGAYCGAGTGTTATTCCAACTCAGAACTTGTACGATTGCTTAGCCATGGATATTGCATTATTATTACTCTACTTAGCCTGGATGCTTTAGATGCTGAATTCCTGGGGACTGGTGGTGTTATTCCTAACTGAGAACTCACACCTCTTCAAACAGCTGATGAGCTTAGCAAGTGCATTAACATTGCTTGGAGCCAAGGTGATGCTAGAGCCTCTACAGCCCATTCCTAAGGAGCTTGGACAGCACAACAGAAGTTGCAAGTGTAGTGCAGAGACGGCAGCARTAAGCCACGGGCCTGCACAAAACTGCACAGCTCGACATACAAAACCAGCAGCAGGGACTCTGCCGGCCCGTAGGCCGCTAGCTTCTCTCTCCTGCTTTGTGATGGTAAGTGGCAAAGGTGACTGCTGGGCTTGAATGGTGAACAGACAAATCTACCTGGAATCTGTTTTTTGCTCGAAAGCAGTAAGAACTGGAGGTGGGAGCCTTTAAAAATCACGTCGTCGGCGTTTGTGCTGATCAGAGTTCCCCGCACTCACTCCCGGCCCAGAGGCGCCCATGCCGGAACGCTAGGATAGTTGGGAGCACGTGGAAGCTCCAGGGCGCTCCCAACACCACAAGAGGCCTCCCCAAGGGCACGGAGCATCCCAGCACCTCGGCCCGCGCGGCCGCTCCAGCCGGGAAGGTGCCAAGCACCAGAGAGGCGCTGAGGCGAGGGCCAAGGCCGCGTCTGCCCCCGATGGAGACGGACGTCAGAGAAGCCCCCGCGCGGGGCAAGCGGCAACAGCCATGTGGAGAGCGAGCTGCTGGCCACACGCGGGGCACGGACCTTCCCCGGGGATGTATTTCTACTTCTCTAGTGATTCCAATCTCTGTAAAAGCTGCATATTTTTTTACTTTGTAACTTAATTTTGACCTCCGTTGTSCGTGCTGATGTATCTCCGCAAGGGTGCTGTGTGTCACAGAGCGGCGCAGCGCGAGCCGAGGGAACTGCTCCGCTCCAGCGCTGTGTGCATACTGGGGGCTTTGGGCTAGTTGGGACTGAGCGTTTGCTACTTGCCTGATTCAATTTACTTGAAGTTATCAGCGAGTAGAACACTTTTTTTTTTTTTTTGTACTTTGAGAAATTTATTTTTTCATCTATATTTCCTACAGATGCCTTTTCCTTTTTTTCTTTTTCAGGCGCAAAGCTAAAAGTCTTTAAAATTTATTTGAACACTGAATTTATTTGCAGGTGACTTTGGTAGTTATCTTGTTTAGTTATATCTTATTTTGCGTTAAGCCCAATTTAATTTTCTCATGTGAGAAAACGGGTATTTTGTTACACGGGGTATTGTGATACCTTTTTAAAGATGCCATGTTCCTTACTCGGGTAGGAGAGAGTTGGACCCAGGTAGCTTTGCCTCATTTGCCATGGGGTTGCCAAACACCAAACCCAGTTTGGAACATGCCTCTTTCTGAATATTTTTCAGGTTTGGTCCCTGAAATTTGTTTGCTGATGCTGTCTTGGGTTTTGTGATGATCTTTTTCATTATTTTTGGTGTGGGGGGGTAATCTATTTTGTGATTTATCTGTTTCGTGTCTGGTTTATCCAGTATGTACTATAGTAAATATTGCAAGGAATTAAATGCAGAGCTCTTTTTTTTTTCTTTCTTTTTTTTTTTTTTTCTGGTAGCACAAGTTATTTTACTTAGAGCAAAATGTAGAACGGATATCTCTTTGACAACATGCTTCCCACTTTTTACAGTGTTCTCTAAGCTTTGTTCTATGTCGAGGGCAGGCAGCTCTATTTTAGTTTCTCTGTCACCTTCTAAGAAAATGTTAGGACTTTCTTAAAATTGTAGCTCTTTCTTAAAACATGCAGAACTCCTCCGCTTGTTGAAGGAAGGAGTCAGGCTGCAGCAGCGCTGCAGTGGAGCRGTTTTCTCAAGGTTAAAGCTCTGCTCCTGTCATCCACACGGTGGAGTTGGTCCATCCTCCCGGTGCTGCCCATGGCACCGCGTGTCACATTTCTTGAGTCCAATACCCTTTTCTAAAATCTCTCTCTTTTTCTTTTTCCTTTTTTTTTTTTTTTTATGGTGGTGTTTGTAAAAAATACTGCCTTTTCTGAATAACTATTTCAAGGTAATGTCGCTGAGATTTTGTGTTTTGGATGTATAAACAATATAGAAATATATGCAGTAACAGAACATATCACTGGCAGACATCATCTGTGTCCACTGTAATGATACTTGTCTCTAGGGGAGCAGCAAGTCTGCTAAGGGTAATAAATAAAATTGCCAGCACTGCAAAACCAAGCAGCAGTGCAACCTACTTGTTAGCATTTTCAGAACTAATATTTTTGTATTAAGTGCGATTTGGTTTCAATGCTAGAATAAGCACTGTGAAACAGAACCACAGCTGAATGCATCATCACCAGCCCTCCTGCAGGTTTCATGACTCCGTGTTATGACAAGTATTAGATATGCAGCACATTGTAAGGCCAATGTTTTAAATTCTTGGGTAAGCACATAAAATATTTTGGCACTTCTGATTTTTCACAGTGGTGAAATACTCCTTTTCATGTCAGTCTACACTCAAATTTTGTATACATTTTTATGTCGTGTTTATATAAAAGTTGTATGAAAACCCCACCAGCTAAATTAGCGCTTTGTATACTTGTTGCTCCAAATATACAGTGGTAAAACCAGCCACTGACCTGTAATTTTAYCAACTGAGTAAGATCACTGCTCTAACTTAAAATGTTCACACATGAGGACTATCTCAGGAAATACAACAGTGCTGGTATATTATTATTGTTATTATTATTGTTATTATTGTTGTTATTATTATTATTATTATTTGTTTGTTAGATTCTGGATATGTTAAGGCACATATATTTACCTTGGTAATATGTTAAAAGTCCATTAAAACTAAGCTATGCTGGATGGATTTTCAGATCCAGCTGCACACGTATTGCTTGACGTAGGTCATGGAGAACAAGCTTAACTGTGACCTTAGCTGTTGTTTAAGTGGAAACACAGGCTTYGTAATACCTTAAGAAAATGTGGTTTTCAAATATGAATTGCTAACAAATGTTATATAACCTAGACCAAAATAAGCTCTCAGCTAAAGAGAATGTAATCTACATATATTCTTTCAGTTTTATCTCCAAGTCTGCTGTCATGAGAACATGAATACATTTAATTATTTACTGAACTCCCAGTGTAAATGTATTCCATCCCCAGTTAATGTATTTGAAGGATTTTCAGTGCCATACCTTTTTATTGCTTTTCTTTTTTTCCCCATGCCTGAGTGACGTGCAGCTGTCACTGATTTAACCACAGTACGTGCATACTGATTACTACTTTCCTTCTTGATTTTTTGGGGGATTTGCAACATTTAAGGTTCAAATCAGTGGCTGTCTATGAAGTGGATAAGCAGATGGGCTGGGTGCATCACCTGTGGGGCCCTTTGCAGGCGGATTGCAGGTGAACACGGCAGCATTTCACCTGCTTCCCGTGCATATAAAAGGAGGGAGGTTCTGTCAGAAACAACCATCTTTCCTCCCCCTGTTTCAAGACCCAAGGACACCAGCRCAGCGAGGGAATGCAGAGGAACAAGCTGAAGGCACCGCACTTTTCCTAGTCCTTTTCCATGCATCAGCAAGCAGAACACAACAGAAAAAGAAAAGAACCAGATGAACGGGAAAAAAAAATGAAGTTAAATCAGATAGGAGTAATAATGTGCCTTACAAAGAAAGACCTTGCCTTCTTTTCTTGTGGTCGGTGAGCAGAGAACCTGATGTGGCTGCGCTCGACAACAAGCAGAGACTTCATGGCCAGATAGTGCCAGAAGCAGCAGTAGCCACCAGCTCCCTGCTGCATCCATTGAGCAGGTCAAGCAGACTTCAAAAATTCACCCAATTTCTTCAGTATTTCAAAGCATCTACAAAAATATGAAGCATGTGCCTACCTGCTAGGTCCTACTAGGAGAGATGAGTAGCTTGGCCCGCATGAAGGGCTCACAGCGGCCTTTTGGCGTTGACTAAGGCACCAGGTCCTACCAGGGTGCCACAGGGGTGGCAGAAGGCTGCTTAGATGCCTCTTAGTGCCCTGCTCTGCAGCAGTGCACTAATACTTACCAGGAGCCTAGGAAGGAAAGCACCAAAGTCAAAATATGAGATTGGACTGAGAATTAGTGGTTATAATTGCCTTCATTTTGAGGACAGTTCTTAAACAATCCATCTTTTTGATGGATCTCTTCTACGTTTAGGTGAGATAATGGTGGAGCTAAAAATTGTATTCATAACAGTGCTGGTAAAACGTCAACGATTAGGAGCTGCAGCAG